GTATTGTGTGCAAGCAGGGATAAGGGAAATAAATGATTGATGAATAAATGCATTACATGAGAAATAATAACTAGAGGGAGGCAGGAAGTGGATGATAAAAGGGAGGGACAGAATTGAGAGGATAATAAACATAAACATTTGCTGTTAAGTGAAGTGAGGCAGTAATCTGAGTGATCTCGCCACATGGTTGTGTGACTGATGCCGTGCTGGGTCCCGTGCTCTTATATAACCTAAAGCCCCCCCGGGCGGACAGTGACAACATCGATTCCATCTCATCTTTTTTTTCTCTTTTTTCAGTGAGGGCTCACACAAACACAGGAAAAGAGGGCAAATACACATCAAGACAGATGGGGAGGAGACTAGAGAGAGGAAAAAGACAATGGAAAAAGGTTAACCCTTGTGTCCTCTGTTAAATGCATCGGTTTACTTCGCTTGTATGCTGACGTGTTGCACTGTGCAGACGGCAGTGGGACTGCTTTAGAAGTGGGTTTAGAGTTCAGGGTCAGTTGGAGAGTTCACAAACCATCAACCAGGCCCAGGATTATTATCCTACGCATCTGTGTAAGTGAAAATCCGATGCAATAGGGCATGCAATGTCACATTTCAAAAAGTTATTGGAACATTGGGGAGAGTTATACTTACCAACAAACAACAAAAGTACCAACGTGTGCAGATGAACTTTGGTTTGAGTTACCATATTAAACTCGTTTTGATGCTGCTGGTGGACAGTGTCACATTTAACTGTTCAGTTGTCGTCACACGAGCCAAGATAACAGGAGTTGTTTAAATGACTTCAGTACCACGGACAGCGCCTCTCCTCGGCAGGCGAGCGCGCAGGAAACTTCCCTCTTCGAGACGGAAAATCCAAACCCAACTGTCTCTTCAAAGGCAGGATTTAAAACGACAAAAGTTGTTGAAAAATGGCTCTGAAATCCCTACATGCTCATTCGAAATAAAGTCTTCATATAACCCCCTGACTCGCAATTCATCATCTATCTAGAAAGCACTAACTTCATTATTCACTCCACTGGGTGCAATAAACAAGTCCGTGATGCGAGACGGCTACTGGCGATACAACAGTCCCCGTGCCGCTGTCATTCAGTCCAGATCCATCCAGAAACACAGAAGAAAAAAAGAAAACAAGCAACGAGGAGGAACCTGTGGATCCTCAAATGCCGATTTAGTCACTTACTGTTGCGAGAGTCTTCAAAGAAACAGCAAGAGCAGTGATAACACTTCGCTTATTTCACCCTTCAAAGAACCACACCATTGATTGTTTGAAGTCCATTTCCTCTTTTAAAAACGACTGATGACATTTCGCAGCCTCGACTCGCTGCCTTTGTTTTTCAGCAGTCACTTAGCGGTAGCTGAGCAGAGGCTATGATACGCATGCGTGAGTCACTCCCTCCTACACTACAATTTGCATGATGACCATGTTACTGTGATTAGCGATGGCCTAACCAACTCATTATGCAAGCCTGTTTGCATTTGCCTTTCTTTTGACTGCTGGAGCTAAACAAACACAGGGTTTCATTATATAACATGTAAACCAAATTCAAATTAGTTTTTATTAAATCTTTACAAGAACACAGGACACTCGCTTGGCCCTGTGTAATATAATCGTGTTGAGCAGATAATAGCAGAGCTCTTTCAATCCATTCAGAATATTAATTTGCTAAGCATAATTAATCATACTGAATCAAGTGCAATATCTCCTTAATTCAAAAAAGAGGATTGGACAAGTGTTAGGCCTACAGCTCTATTGAAGTATTTAAGTCATATAATAGTCTGGCTGCTGGTATACAAAGCATACATACTTTTCATTTACATGCAACACACACATGCAAATTAGAATAAGACATGCAAGGATTTCTACCCTGGATTACAGTCAATTGGTCCCCCTTTGTAAGTATGCATTTTTTAATGTAGACTATTTTTATCTTATAGTAGGCTACTGTACCGTCTTATTTTTAAGCTTTTTTATTCTTAATACACTTTATTTGATTATGTACCTGCTCCCCTTTACCTCTGATTAGATCTAGCTCTACAAGTAGCAGCCCAGCATCTTTGTTCCTGGCCAACTTGCCATCATCGAATCTACTGATTCTTGTAGCATGAAAGCTTGATCTTGAATACATCGATAAACCCTCCCTGCTGCTCGTTGTAAGCACTTGGATCCGAACCCTGTTATCTTGTGGGACCAACCGTGACAGATCTTTGGCTCACTTCAGCTGATAACATACTGTGCACAACCCACTAATCACATGATCTCGTATCATCTGGGAGTTTAGCTTTGAAAGGGCCTGACCTTTTCTATGATATTTAATCTATATCGTTGAATATATTTCGGATGGAGCTCAAGCAAAATGTCCCTTTCTTTTTCTTTAATCTTTTGAAGGATAAAACCTCATTCCAAAAAAATATTACTTTTACAAATGTAGTTACAATGAGTCACAAGCTCATTTGAAAAGGTTAATAGTACATATTCCTGCCCATCAAGCCAACACAGTGGAGGAGAGACGTGACTGCCGAACAGTTTAATTATATGCTATTTTTTGTGTCTTGCTGAAATTGCAGTGATTCGCCTCTTTTGTAAAGACTAAACGATGTGATAAGGCTAAAATACAAATGTCAACAGATTGAAATGACGGGGTACATCTTGCTCTTTTTCCTGTTTCTCTCTGTTCTGTAGACCTGCAGAACATCTGAAGCAATATTGATCTACTTGCAGTTTATTATAGACACTATACGATCTTCAACCATCTTTAATAACTATGCTTCTGTATGAAACACTAGAGAGAACTGCTTCTTTACAAAGAAAACCTCTTACACGTCAATAATTATAGGGACCTATATTTGGAGTTTAAATTTGAATATCTCAAGTGTAAATGTATAATTATTATAATGTATAGAAACACATTTAACAATGATGTTTGCTTTCTTTAATTATATTTGCCCATTTCTTTGGCTTGCTTTTTATCACTGATCGAAACAACTGGATTACTGCAGCATTGTTTAATGTTATTCGTCAACATGCTGAGATTAACCCTTGATACGTGATCCTCAAGCCTGAACGATCCACAATAATCTCACAGTTACATCACATGTGATCACATATTTAATCTCGGAGTCATTGTCTTTGTTATTATGAAAGGATTACTCTCACGAAGCATAGAAATGAATGGTTTGTGAATTTCAGGCTTTTTTGTTTTTTTATACCACATGTTGGGGAAATACCTTGCACATTTCGGTTTGAATTAGTTTGTATATATCTGTAAACATCAACATGAAAATGTACGATTCTGAGAACTGTGACCGAGTAAATCAACATGTTTTTGTTTGAATGCTTAGAGGGAGCAGCTTTTAATGTAAAAAGAAAAGCAAAGAGGCATCTGAGTGCACTATTGTGTTTCTGTCAGCATCAGCGGTAGGCCGGCACTCGGAGGAAAAGACTAAATATGGCAGGCCTGGTTGAACCACATCCTGCCGATAAGGAAACCATAGCAACAGTAATGCAGTACCATGGTGACTAGAGGAGGCCTGCTTAGTGACAAGCCACAGACTCAGGAACAACGGGAAGCCTCACAGCCTTACAGGCATCCAATGTGTTTGACTTACTTTCAACAAAAATAAAAGCATTTCAAAGAAACAGATGAATAATTAATGTGTTTTTACTCTTCCAGTGTTTTCACAGCAACTTTACCCTCTACAACAAAACCAACAGCATTTACCAGCATAAGGCTGTAAACATGTCTGTGTGTGTGTCTGTGTGCTCCTCGAGGATGCACTGCGTAGAGCAGATTTCTAGGGATTTGGAAGGATTTCAGATTAGAACATGATTACAGCTGACAGTCATGGATGAAACATGCTGGAAATTGGAGATGTAAATCTTCTGCAGCTTGCTATAAAAACCTCTTAATGCTATCTAAACATCCATCATCACTGGTATTCATACAGATCCCATTTGCAGATGTACATTGCTATATTGGGTGTTGCTATAATAAATTATATGAATTGCTTGCAAACCATGTGTGGTGATTTTCTCACGTATATACAATATACAGATAAAAATGATACGTTACAAAACAAAAAAGAAAGACGGAAAAAACAGGTAAACATTGTTCCGTTTTCCCACGACACAATTGCAACGAACAGATGCATGCAAGCATATAGCCTGCTGTGATTTTGACAAACCACTTCCCCTCCCCTAAGCAGCTTATATTTGTATACAACTATTTCTTATCAGAGGAATAATTCTTGTCAAGATATTTTGTCTGTAATTCATATACTTTATATGCGTATACATATCACACAAACATCACACAAAGGCAGTCTTCCTAAAAATAGCATTTGTGTGGATCTAAACAACTAGAGCAAGCATAATGTTGTACCACTGTATGTTCCCACACAAAGATACACACAAGGCTCCGGAGAATCTCAGCTTGGAGTTTTATGATGGCATGTGCTGCTGTGAGGCAGACACACACACACAGGCCACGTCAGCAGCACATAGCAGCTAATCTAATTGATAAGGCAGATATTCTCAGGCAGCCACTGAACCACACCCCACATACACACACACCCCCCCCCCCCCCACACACACACACACACACAGCTACAGGGCATTGCCAGATTCAACCCCGGGAACTTGGCAAAGAGCTCTGAGCTAACACTGATAGTAAGTGAAGACTTGTTCCCTCTGACCTTCTGAGTTGGCTCATGGCCCTGTTTAGGAATACTTACTTTCTATTATAAGACCCAGAACTTAGTGCGTCAGATAACCCACCAAAGCAGAAGAAGTCAGCATTCGTGCAGTAAAGACTTCTCTTACAAGATGTTACGTCTAGTATCTGCTATTGAATTAAATGTTGAACCCGACTGCTTCGGGAAGAAAGGTTAGAGTTAAATATTAAATATTCATGTGGACATGTGGGTCTTCACTTCTACAAGAGGGGGAGGTTGTTGTGAACAAGAACCAACACAGAAGCACAAGCGTCACCTTGTGTTTATTAAGCTGAAGTTTATTGTCTTAATTATAATATGGTAATGACAGAGCCTGTTGGAAGGGCCGGTATTAAATCCTGCCTGAGAAACAGTTTGAACAAGATGACAGATTGTGTCACACCGATTGTTTCCAGACATTATTTCTGTTCTGGATCACAGATAATTCAAAAGAACACAACAGAACAGCAGTTTTTCAGAGTAGAGGTAACTTGAGTCATCCTTCAACAAACAAGACAGCATATTAAACTGTACATAGATAGTAAAGCTATTTAAAGAACAACAACAAGGCACAAAAAAGCTAGAAACACATTTCTCAGGATTGATTTACATTCAGATCCAGTTACTGATCATTGGGCTCCCACATGTCATCAATATCTGTTTGTCCCGTTGTGTTGTCTTGTGTGATCCGACTGTTTATCTCATGCTTTCATTAAGATGCAGCTGATCTTGACTCTCCAGCATCTGGCAGTCCAGTAATGTGTCAGGGTTGTGTCTTTGAACAGAGTCGATGGTCTGCTGGTCGGAAATATGACCCTCCAGTTTAGAGTTACCAAGACCTCTGCTCTTTTCTTTTTGTTGGCTGTGATCCTCGCTAGCTGGAATACTATCCTTCCGCTGGCCGCCAGCAGGACTGTATCCTTCTATGCCAGGGTAAAGATCCCCCTTCCCCTGCTGAGTGGTGATGCTGTCTGTTTGTGAGCTGCTTCTTGTCACGTATTTTGACTTGCCGTCATGCTGCTGGCTCTGTCTGATGTGGCCTAATGTGATTTGGAGCTCATTGAGGCGCTGTGATACATAGCGCCTCTTCAGTTCCAGCAGGATTGTTCCACTACGACTCAGGCTTGGCATGCTGGTTGGTGTTGCCTTCTGCATAAGGACATTATTAGAGAATGTATTAGAGATGGTGTGTGGTAAAAATATGTAAGGGAATCCATACACTGTGTTAATAAATAACACAAAAATGCAAATATGCAGGCACTGAATTTATTAATAGTGATTCACACATGTCCCTCTTTAGTCAGGGCTGAATGGGAGCACATGAATATCAGCATGAGGCTTGAATGATTGAAATCCACTAAAGGTTAAACTTTTAATGTAATATATCATTCATATTTATGAAATGCTATAAAATATAGAGAAGTGAGAAAATAAAATAAGCATCAGGGTTCATTTGAGCATGTTGACATTTGTAGGCAATTAAATGATAAAAGATACTTTCTAAAATGTTCCCAGCACAAATTACCACCCTGATTAATTATTTGTAATAAAATATGAAATATTCGGCTAATTACCGCAGAATGGTTGCCAGCACTCCTCTCTCTCTCCTTCAGCCATGAGCTCATTTGAGCTCTCTTCTGCAGCTGCACACTCAGCTGCAGAAAAGACTCAGTCATGCGGTCAATTTCTTCCTCTATGCAGGACATCTGTGGAGGAGGAGATGATGACGTAACACGGGGGGGTATGAGGATAGTGACTATACCCTAAATTAAGATTATGATTTCTAATTGATTGATACCTGCACTGGTGTCCCTTTTGGTGGTAAACCTACAGAAATCAAACAAGACTTTAGATTCTGAAAATTAAGAGACACAATAAGTCAATCTTCCAATAATATATGATTATTGTGTACCAAGCAACACAACCCCTTAATGCTAGAACAACTTCATTGCTGATTGGCATGCTGTCATTCAAGTCCTGAACTGTGTGTATATTGGGATATTGGACATTTCACTTAAGTTGACGAAGGAGGTACAAATCTGCTTCCTTCTTTTCCGCCACAGAACTGCCATTAACGGTTTAATGATGCCTAGATATTGTGACTGGGGGAGTAAGGGAAAAACATCTGACTTTAATTTGAAATCACAATTAAAAGTCTTTATTGGTTTGTATGTGTGCCTTTTTGTGGGGAATAAATTACATTTGGGAAATATAGGAACTTCATGGGTTTGACAAGATAGCCTGACAAATCCGTTATGGATCAATGGCTGCAGGATGGGAATAGCAGTGTGAAAGCATAAGAAATAAGTGGACTGCTAGTCAGACCTTCTTAGGTTTTTATATTGGTCAAGGTTCATGTGCTTGTTCTCCTGACATCAGGTTTTTAATGGCGCTATATTGACTATATGCCATATCAAGCTTGCATAAATTAACTCATTTAACAACCATATAATCTATCGACAGTAGTACCATTGCCATATTAAAATACTTACTTTGCAGTGACCGATGCTTTTGTCAAATATAATGTTATTGCACAACTGCTAAGATTTAGGAAAGTACTTGTTTATTATACATATTTTGTCTATCCTGTAAATGGTTAGGTCAGAGAAATTATCATGTTATCATTTTGCATATTGTAAACTATTTTCTTTGTTCTTACAATAATCAACAATTGTCTTACCTGTGTCCGTGCTGTCAGTTGAACTCCGTTTCAGGTTTGTGACGAGCTGCTCTAACTTGAAATATTTATATTTTTGAAGTCTAAATTGGAACAAAGGTAGCAAGTTTTTAAATGATTTATCTAATGGAATACTTCACTTTGCTGGAGGCTTTTAATGTTTCTCACCAACCTGCTAGCTAACAGGTGCTCAGTGAACAGCCCTTCAGTGGGAACTCTTATGTTAAGAAATTCCTCAACAAATGCACCGTGTCGCTCCTCTGAAGCATCAAATTCCGACTGTAAAAAGAAAGCATACAAAGTTATCTTCCCTTACCCATGCAGTAAGAGAATGATGTGTGCGACCTTAAAAGCTCATACTTACTTCTGCTGTGTTCCATTTAAAAGAAATGTTGAGCAGCTGAAGGCTTACAGCTGAAATGGCCTCATGGAGAGCTTTCATAAAGCCCTGAGGTTTGGATCCTAGTTGTACAGACAACAAATACATATATTGTTTCCAAAGAGACTTACATACTTTGTGATTTCAAAGATGATTACCAAAGCTGTTGAACTGTATTACATGGCTATTGCCAAACAATGACTGGGTCTCACTCTCAAGTCTATCTTCAATAACAATCTTATTACCTGATGCTATGTAGGCCATGGCCTGCAGAATAGTAGCGATGAAATGTCCCACATGCTGAAGCTTTGCCTCTGACAGATAAAGGATTTGATTGGTTGCATCAAAATAAAAGTCCCCTGAACAATGCGCCAGTAAAGCCTCATTAGAGGAAGATGAGGAAACAGGGATCGACTTGGTCAGTAGCAGGAGCACGGAGGGAAACAGGGGGCAGTCTGCGAGCAACTGCATCACCTGGCAACCAAACAGGAACACGGCCGAGTGTTGAGGGGAGAGATTGTCCAGGGCAGTCGGGACTAGTGGCCTATCGTGGTTCTGGGCATCAACGACACAATGCTCTGTAGTGGATACAAATATATGAAAAAATGCTTCATTAGGCATTTGTAATTTGTTGTGTAATTCATTAAAAGTTACATTTTTCTTCGATGCCTATTTTGTACCATTATGAAGATGCTGATCAGAGCCAGTTGTTGTAAGGTTCTGTAAAGACTGTTGTATCTCCTGCAGGGTCTTGAATAGAGGAGATATGCTGACAAGCTTGGACAGGTCATGGTCACTTAGACAAGGAGCTGTGCAGAGGACAGAATCAGGAGATTTGGGGGACATAACATCATGGTTCTCTTGGAAATTCAACACACCTTTGCATATTTGTTCCTTACCTTGCTCTGCTTTGGTCATATTCATTGAAGAAAACTGTGGACATAATATGATCATTGATATTATGATCCACTTTGATATTCCTGGATATGCTACAAACAAAACAACACCTTACCTGTGTATAACACATGTTGGTGTCACCAGGCTGTGTGTATCCAGCTTGCGGCTCACACTCCCTGGCATCATGAGGAGCAGTATGACAGTATGGAGGAGCAGGCAACTCCTGGTTCTGCCAAGCTTCTCCTGTGAGCCTGCATAAGAGGGCTTCCACTGACCTGAGAACAGCTCCCAGTAACGCTACAGATGCTTCAGCTGAAGTGATCAGGATGTTTAGTCCCATGCACAAAATAGTAGAGAAAACTTGAATTAACATTTGCCTTTAACCAGATGTCTTCTGCCTCCTTTCCCCATCTTCTGACTTTCACACCCACACATACCTGCTTCCACTTCCTTCATTCCCTCAGCCTGACTTCTCCAGCCACGCCCTCTGCATAACCCAACCACCCACTGTTTCCTATTCCCTATGCATTCTTTGGACTCTGCCAACATTTCTCCCTCTTTTACAGTATGTATTTGAGTGCTATCCCTGTTTCAGTAATCACTGCACCATGACGTATATTTATATTTTTCTCAGATAGTGTAGATGGTATAACATATTCTCCTCTAACTTTGGACATGAAAGAAATTAAGTGTACTTCCCCAAATGTAACCCAGTCCTTTAATTGTTTTTTTTCTGCCCATTGCTCTTGAAAAAAGTATTCTTCGATGAAATCTGATATGACCATCATTCAGCTTTACCTTGTGTATCCCTCTCTCCTGCCATGCTGTTAGATGGTTTATCCCTCATTGCATTGTGGACTATAAGCTCCTTAAGAAGATTCAGTTTTTTATGATCCATATTGTCAAAGACATTCTGAAAGACAAAATGTAAAAAAAAATCTGAAACCTGAGAAAACCAAAAGTCCTAAATATAACGGACAAGTGTTGAATTTAGTAATTTATGCCTTTGCTATAAAAAAACTCACCTTGAGTGTTTCAGTCTGTTGACAAATGTTTCTATAAAACTCCTGCGTGTCTTTGCGGTGCCTGGCCAGCTGTGAGGCTATGTGCAGGTTCTGATCCTCTAGTTTGTCGTACAGAGTCTTCACATTTAACTCCTCCAAATCAAAGAACCCTGACACACATCCTAAATTGGAAGAGTAGATGTCAATAATATGCAAGTTAGAAATGGGCTGAAATATGGGGGAAAGTCTGATCAGCCCATCCCAAAGAACTAATGAGATACTTATTCTGATTATTTTGTAAATGGTGTAACTTGCTGCTGTTAAATCCATCAAACTATGTGCAATATGTGCTTTATGTGCAATATATACATTATATACATATGCCATTAATAACTGTGTAATATGTACCTGGCTGCTAAATCCTAAGAACTTTTTTTTTTCTTTTATTATTATTATTATATTTTTTTTTTTTTCATAACTTAGTACTTTTTTTTAACATATGTAACATTAAGCTGTCTGTGGCTCTTTCCTGCTGTAACGATGCAAATTTCCCCTCTGTGGGACTAATAAAGATATTCTGATTCTGATGAATTGCTGCACCATGAAATCAAAAGCTTGTTTGACTGAGCTCAATAACAATTCAGAAGCGTCTGTAGCTTTACAAGACCGTCCGGATGCAGCATGCTTCCATGCGATGGTTGATAAGTACTTCAGAGCCAGAGATAACAGCACAAGCAATTAGAGATCATCAATCTCTGGAATAGGCTGTTAACTGCTACCTAGTCATGCGTGATGGTTTCATAATGGCTCGGGCCAATAGATGTTTAAACGCCCCTATCAAGCTGCATGAATAATGCAATAAGCAATAAGTGAGAAACATTAAAGCCAACTCTACTTATAGATTTCTAGACCTTTCTGCAAATATTTTCCACAATCTGCACCTGAGCAAAAAAACTGATCACTAGAATTTGTATCACCACTTACTATTACTAATATCTAAACTTACCAATTACTTAATATATATTTGATTTGAAATCTGTACTGCAGTATAACAAGCTCACCTCCTTTTGAAACAGCCGTCTCCTCAGCTCCCTCTCCTACACCCCTACTACCTAAGTAACCACCTTGGCTTGGGACTGCTATGCTGAAACACAAATAAAAAGCCACATATTTATATTTGACAGCATTTTACATAATTGACATAATTAAGTTGAAAAAAGAGAGAGTACATGGATAGTTATATACCCAACACCGGTCTCCTGACACATGGCTAAAACAAACCATCAGTATTGATTTAAAGCCAACCAACCTGTCTCCACTGCAAACACAATCCACCGGACAGAAGGGCTCCCCAAGGCTGCGCCACTTCGGCTTAGCCCTCCACTGGGAGACAAGTTTTGCTTTTCCAGGTCGCAGAACTAAAACTGTGGTGGTCAAAACCACAACTACAACCAGTAGCAGACTCAGGATCCCTAAACACAGGTATTAGCATTGTGGCAGAATAAAATAGCTTGTTACAACCATGCACATGCATAAATAGACATTATAAGGGAACAGTGTGATACACACCTGTTATCACTCCCCAGTCAGGTAGAAGGTTGAGTCTGTGCTGTTTTACAATCCCGTGCTTGACCAGCTGTGCCGGGGTCATGGGCTGGAAGACGGAGGCCCGGGGGTCACACTCTGTCCCCTCCTCACTGACCACCACCACCAAACTCCAATCTGGCACAGCACTGTCAACAAACACATACTTCCCTGTTTCCAAGAACACATGGGCAAACCTGACAAAAGGAGGGGAAAAGGAGATGTTTTAGATAAAGGGGGGAGATGTCACAAAATGGGAACTCAAATAATCTATACTTCACGCTTCACACTACCTTGTAGAGTTGAAGTTTGTCTGCTTCATGAGAATCTGTAGACGCCTGAAGGCACCAAAGTCCCAGCTGGGGTTACTGTTAAATAAGTGGTCTTTCTGATATACTGGGAAGTGGCTGTGACGGCGGTCTTGGGGTATTAAAGACAGTGAGAGCAAGATTACCATGTTTAGAACTATAATACATCAAACTGTCATAAGAAAAACAAAATGAAGAAAAAAAAAATATGCTGTACCAGTGTGGTTGATGGTGAGGTGGAATATGAGCATGTCACCAGAGGACAGACAGGCGATGGGGTTGGGGATACGAGGAAAGACGTCATCTTTTGTCTCCCTCCTTTGTCTGGGTCTTGTACTTAGGACTTCTATTGGTTCTGAGTAAAGGTACATGCTCAGGGTTTAGACACTAAAGTTGTGTTTTCAACTTTTTTCCTTTAAATATACATCGGAACAATAACATTAAATCATCATGACAAGTTAAGAGCAGTCACCCGACAGGAACTGATTGATGAGCTCTCTTTGTGTAGGAATCCAACCAAACACGCCTTCAGGGTCGAACTGGACCAAATGGATTTTACCAATATTGTTTGCGTGGAAATCTGGTCCTAAAACATTCATTACAGTCTGGAAGTAAACAAAAACAAGCTTAATCTTTCAGCTTACTGTATGTGACATACTGTACAGTGCAACAGGAAATAAAATGGGTCCCATTAACATTACAACTGTGACACTTTCTTCATATTTCTGATTGTTAAATCTAGTCTAGAAAGTGGACTAAGTGGCTCTTTTATGCTTTGATATCTGTTTTAAATAATTGGGAATATTCATATTTAAAAGTTTTTTTTCCATTGTTAAACATGTAAATGATGGTAAAATGGTTGTTACATCTAAAACAAATTAGTGTGGTGTGTATACAAGTGTAATTAAATGTCCTGTACTAGAGAGAAATACTTTTGTTATGATATTGCACAGATAACGAGTTTGGGGAGCTAAATATCTCTAAACAGCCACTAAAGCCTGTGCACAAAAAATATGCAGATTCATGGATAATGAAACTAGCTTGAATTTATGACCCCAAGTAGCAATTTTGTTGAACTGCTAAAAGCATTTTTCAGCATGGAGAAACACTTTCATTATTTATCACTTTTCCTTCGCCATTATGCAATGATATAGCCAAATGTGCAGCTGCAACACTTTTTCCAGGTGTCCTGCTGAGACCCTGATAAATGCTTTGCCAAGCTTTCTGCCAGTTTACCGTCCAAGCCAGCCCCTACAGACTGAAACGTTTTTTTGGATGCAATACTAATACTAGTTTTGTGCTCATTTTTATCTGGTGGTAGCAGATTCTGAAAATCCTCCCTATCCTTTCAATAATCCTTTCAAGTATTACTTAAAACGTAAATAGGAAATCCATCATCTTGAATTTGGGCCAATCAGTCTGTCAATGGCCCTGTCACACTTCCTTACCCTGGCCCAGACCATTTTATCTCTTTCTTTGAGGCTGAGCAGCAGGTGTCCATCTGGAGAGAACTGGGCAGAGAGCTGAGGTAGTCTGGAAAGGCAGGAAGTGTTGCAAAGCTCCTCAGCAGACACATATCGCTCACACTGGCAGCTGGGGCATCAGGATCAGGCAGACAAGACAGAAAACAGAGACAGAGAAACAGACAGCATAAGAGGCTGTTTACTTAGAGATACAAATCTAATCATACATCAATTTTCTTTATATCTATCCTTTTTTACATTGTATTTGACTTTGCGGTGTACTTTTATAAGACACATTTGAATTGAAAAGTGATATTCACATTCCCATCTCCACATCCAGATTTCCTCCATGTTGTCCACAGGTGATATTACACGAGTGGAGGGAAGGTGACACACACTCTCTGGAGTCTGCCAGACGTACCTCACCTGTGGCACAACGCTTGTTTGCCTGAAACACACACAAACACACAAAAGCACACACACACACACACACACAGACATAAGACATGAAAAACGACTTAAAACATACAGAGCTTGTTGGAGTATTTCCCTATCTCGTCTTTTACTGATTTCAAAATGTACAGAAAAAATCGAATTAAAAAGTAAAATCATCAAGCCAGTTAGGGGTTGCTCAAATGCTTCTTGTAAATCTCCATATTTATATTTCTCCATTCACAATTTGTTGAATCTGTCCAAAGATGAACCACTGTGTACATTTGATACACTAATTAAGAGTAACTAAGGCTACTGACCTCAGGCTGGCAGTCCAACTCACTGTCAGAAGTAGAGCTTTTGAAATCCAGTTCATTGTAGAAGATAAAACCAGTTCTGCACAAACATGAACCATCAGAGTGCTGGAATGCTCGATTCTTAGCAATACAGGTACAAGAAGAAGAACCTGAGGAAACAAGTGTGACACAGCACTGCTACATGATCAAAATAAATATGTTTAAGTAGAACACTTTTGAAACTGTAACTTACATTTAAAACTAGAAAATAAACATAATATTTGTTCAGATACAAGCTTTTAATGTGTTCTGAGATATCTGGAAACATCTGATAGTATCCAACCTGCTGGTGAGGTGGAGGAGCTGCCACAGGAAAAGCAGGCCTTCTGAGCAGGCAGGTGGTTGAAGGTGCCAGCAGGACATGGCTGACAGTTACCCATTCTTTTAGCAAGAGGGAGGTTGCCAAAGGAGCCAGCAGGGCAGGGTATTGGTTGTGTGGATCCGGTGGGACAGACATACCCAAGAGGGCAAGGGTTACTCTTGTAGTTGTCTGTACCTGTTGGATTTAGCCACACATTTATATAAACAAAATCACAGTTTATTTGGTGTTAGGCATGAAATATCAAATGCTGTACATATAAATTGAGTTCTAGAGGATTTCTGGTGGTGAGTAAAGTACCAGAGGGACAAAAGTATCCTGCAGGACATGGAAGGCATTTTTGGATGGGGGAGAGGTACTGACGATAGGTGCCCTCGTCACACACAGTGCAGCAGCTGTTTTTGGATCCTCTGAGGCCGCTGGTGTTGACAGGCATGAAACCGCCATCGCAGGATTTCATGGAAGAGCTGTTGGCTGGGCAGTGGTAGGGAAATGGACAGCTGTGGGACATGGTAACAGTGTTATTTATAAAGCTTTAACTCACACTGTGTAAAATCAGTCCAAATCCATTAAGCTTTCACTATTTTAAACGTTCAAGGACTAGTGTGTAAGACTTATTGGAATACATCATATATTATTATAATATATATTTATTATTCACAACTATTCATAACATACTCTTTATGCATAATCACCTGAAACAACAAATCATAGTGTTGTTGTTTAGCTTAGATGAGCCCCTTTCTATCTAAACGGGGAAAGTCTTCTTTTCCTTGGAGTCCACTATTTAGCATTTTGTGTTTCAACAGTAGCCCAGAAGGGACAAACCAAACACTGTCTCTAGAGAGTACCTCTCGTGTTTATAACATTACCTGAAGGCAAAGGAATGTTCTCTGCACAACATTTGGTGAGATACAGTATGTCCATAAACAATCCTTCTTCTTCCAAAACTTTGTTTGATATCTTCTAAGTAATGTATGATTCAAGATGATTCAAGATTCAATACTTTAGGAATTGGCCTCATCACAATAGCATTCACAGCTTTGTAGTTAGGACACATAATGAGAAATACACAATGTACATCATGAGTTTGCAATCCAGGTATTGCAATATTAGACATTACATGCACTCACAGTTGCTTTGGGGTTTGGTAGGAATGAGATCCTTGAGGACACAAATATCCTTCAGGACAGACTTCAGGCTCAGCAGTCTGAGGTCCACAATATGAGCCAGCTCTGCACAGCCTCTCTGTTACTGCACCTAAATTATGAGCAGATACTCATTACTGCAAAACCTCATAAATGGCCACAGGGAGAGAGGCATTAGACTCAGAGTTTTTTCATACAGAATCCAATATACCAAGCTAACATTATAAACTGTATCGATAACCTTACCCATGGGACATTGATAAGCGGCTCTGCAGGAAATCCCCTCCACATTGGGCTTCCCTGTAGCCCGAGGGTCTGGGCAGAAGGTTCCCCCTGCACACAGTTCACACTGGCTGGGTGCAGCGGCTCCAGGAAGGGCCCTCTTAGTGCCCGCGGGGCAGAGGATGGGGGGTCCGGATCCACTGCACCAAAAACCAGGTGGGCAGGGACTGTTGGAGGAGTCTGTAAGCCCTGGAAAATAACAGCTTTCTGAAAACCCTATTCATCACTTTAGACACTAACAGAAATATAAATATATTAGCATAACATGAACCAGAGGGAGAAGAGGTGGGGTCACCATGTCCGGGGAATCAACCACTACTGTAACAATATGACTTCACTTTGAAATATTTTCAATTATGTTTGAGGAAGAGAAAAAGAGAGATTAGAAAAAGTATTTCCTTTTATAAATCCAAAACTCAATGTAATTACCATAGCCTCAAGTTTTAAATCGAATGTTCACATTATACCTCCTCGCCTCTTATCTCAGGCACGGCTCATGCACTGGTATATTAATGTACGTACAAACTGAAATAAATACAACCTAAAAAAGGTAATTCTCTTTGATCTGGCCTTACAAATGTAAATTCAAACTCACTAGAGAAATTACTAGTAGAGCATTATTTTACACCCAATCATACCTCAGGCACAGGGTGTCGTTAAATAAAACGGGGGGAAATTAAGGAATCGGTTTCATTTGCATTTCAAAGGAATCTGTAACAGTTTAGTTTTAATTGGTGTTTGTTGTCGGATCAATGCAGTGTGTCAGACCTGTGCTGTTACAGTGTGAACCAGGCGGGCAGGCCAGGCAGTCCCCCTTGCTGCCTGCCCCGGGGTGGGCTCGATATGTGTACAGCGGACACAGCCTGGGCCCCGTCCCTCCATCGAAGTCACTGCCAGGCAGACCATCACAGTAAAGACCAGCAGGACACGGATGAAGGACTGGGTCTCCTGCAATACAAACATATGAATGCTAAAATGTAAGAAAGAAATTGGTTTCAGATATTTTCATAGTTAGAGTATTTTATTTATTACACTGTTGCTTATCAGTTGAGGAATATATATATATAGACATTTTTATTGATTGGGATAAACCCCTTGAGATGCACCATCTCGTTTTCAAGGGGGTCCCTAACAACTTACAGACATACATAAACAAAAAGACAAAATGCAAAACATGACACACAAGACAAACCACATACAGTCTGTTAAGTAAAATTCAAGCAATGCACACAATCATTACAATTCGAGACAGTCAAGCAAATCAGTTTCATCAATATCAGTTTCATTAATAACAAGTACATATATTTCAATAGTTTATTGAATACTCACACATTTCCCCCTGGCTACATTCTATCCCTGTTAACCCTTCATGATCTCAAGCTCAGTAACAACTCTAAAGGCAGGGCTCTCTTAAGTCTTTCCAATTTGCATCCTTTGTATTTAATTCAGTCCCAGTGCCAAGATCATGCTGGTACCTACTTATTCTAGTTTACACATGAGACCAACAATGACTTCAATTAACTCCCCGACAGAAAAACAGGCAAGCAATAAGCTACTTATAAAGCATCAGGAAACTGTTCATCTAGACCAAACAAAAATCATGTTTTAACTGTCTAAGCATCTTAAACCCTTCTTTAAGCCCCTTAATAATAATAATAAACAGCATCCTGCATTTTCCCTGAAAACATTATAACAGTATCTTTAAATAAAAAACACATTACCAACTATTTAAATATAAAGAACATTATCAACTCATACCAGGTTGACACCAATACTGAGGAGGGCAGGGTAAGCAGTCCTGTAGGCTGGCACCTCCTGGGGAGCTCCTGAAAGTGTTTGAAGGACACAACTCAGCCTCCTCTGTGCCTTCACGACAGAAGAAACCTGAAAGAAAGCGTTACAATAAATAAGAACAACATTTGAACCTGTCCAAGGTGCAGGGATGAGAGAATTAATCTCACATTTCAGAGAATCTTAGAGTTAGTTATGTAAATCTGTGTATATAAATAAACATTTCCATTGTTGGTTTGGGTTGTTTTCTTTCAAAAATGGCTGTACCTGCCGGACATGGACCAGCACACTGCATGCCCGACTGGCACTGGGTCATATTAGACCTATTAGGGTCCTCAGGTCCCTGAGGGGTGAAATCTGCACTCCCAGAAACACAAAGATAGCCAGCGGCACACACACCCTGGATCCTCCCAGCCCTGAAGAAAATATACACATGGTTAGTTTATTCACAAAACCACAGAGAAACACATACACATATTTGGAAAACTAAATGTATCAATCATTAGATAAATATAATTATAATTACATTACTTCTACCATTCCCACCTCCCATATCTACGCTCATTATATTAATTCATGTTAAGGTGTTCATTTTGCTGTTCAGTGAACCGTGACAGCTGAACGTGATATACTCCTGCATTCTACTAATTGGGAGCATAATCAGAGCGGAGATTAATGTTTGCCTCTGAGCATGTGTGTATGAAGGTATGTTCAGGTTGTGCATGTGCCTAATAGTGTGTCTGTGTATTTGTGTTTCAGGATGGATGTGAATGTGAGGCACATTTGAGAGCTTCTGCATGCAATCACATGGGCTGTGGTGCATTCAGTGTACCTGCAGAACCTTCCTGAAGGGCAGGGTAAACACTCTCTCTCTTCTTGTAGCCCTCCCTGGTTTGAATGAGTATAAGTGCCATTAGGACACGGTTGAGGCACCATTGTTCCTGAAAAAGAAAATGAAGTAGACAGTTGACTGAAAGCATGATTTATTACATGTTATTACTAAAAAGGAATGTGCTGTTTTTAGTCTGAGAAGCGTTTTGTGTGTTATTTGGGAATCAGGCTGGTTTATCATTTGCTATCCACTTAGTCATACATTGTCCGTAGAATACCTGCAGGGCAGAACGAGTGTGGTGGGCAGGGCCATGGCTCTCCCACTATGGCCTCCTCACAGTAGAATCCAGGTCTGCATGGGATGCAGCTATCTGATCCCGGGTTTGGCTGGTACTCTCCTGTGGGACAAGGCAAGGCCAGGGCAGAGCCCTCTGGACAATAGTGGCCCTAGGAGAGAATGTAATTTACAAAGGGGTTGGTATTAAACTTCAACGTTTTTCATTCAAAATGTTCATAACTTATGACTCATTTTACTATTATAGATATTTGTAAAAAATCATCATAATTATGACAATAATTCTTAAATTATGGCCAAAACATTTTCCGTTGACGACTAACTGGTTCATCCTTGAGTCCAAGTGCACGGTATCATAAGGGAAGAAACCCTGAAAACATAATGTTTTTGGCCATGGTTACCGCCAGCAAGTGGAATGAGGTTTATCAAATACAATATGAAAAACCCTTACCTTAGGACAGAGGAAGGCATATGGAGTGGTTGAGGAGAAGTCAAAAGGGCAGAAGAAACCAGCAGCACAGGGGCCACTGGGGTTGGCCAGACCCTCCGTGGAGCAGTAGTGACCAACAGGACAGGCAGAGCAGCTTTCCATGGAAACCCCTCCTATGACAACAGTGATGCAGATCAGACGAGCAGAAAATATCAGAAACCCATTAGGACCTCTTTCAAATGCAAATGCAAGCTCCTAATTAAAAAGATGATACGGATATCAAATGATTTCATTAATTACACAATGGTGTGACTAACAGAAAATAAACTGCCATTTTGTGAGTAGTGTAAACAGTAGGTCTACCGATGGTGTTGCGAATACTGCCAAGAGGGCATGGAACTGGGGAGAGGCACCCTGATGGACAGTAGTGGCCCAGGGGGCAAGGGCCATTCATGGGGAACTTGTTAGAGCTCTGTGGGGTTGGCTCAATGGCTCCACCTTGGCAAAAATAACCCAGCAAACAAGAACCTAGACAAAACAAAATCCAAATTCCAAGGTTGAGTGTGTGTACATTTTATAAAAGGCTGAAATAATGTGATATATCTTTGCGTGTGGTCACCTTGTGGTGTTGAGGCTCCATGTGAGCCACAGTACAGTCCAGAGGGACATGGTGTGCAGACAGAGAGAGAAAATGCACCTGTCTGGTTGCTGAAAGTCCCTAAAGGGCAGCGCTGTGGCAGGGCTGTCCCCGCAGGACAAAAATGACCTAGGAAAAGAGCACTTATTAAATATTGCTTTTACTCGACTGCAGATTTGTACATTCTTCCAGTTGCCAAAATTGCTGCTTTATGTATAATGGTAAGATATCAAATGTACACTCTACATTCAAAGTTTATTTCACCACCCTCACCAGCTGGGCAGATTGAGGTCTCTCGAGTGGCTGAGGAAGAACACATGGTCCCTTCGGGGCATATTATACAGTAGGCAGCTCCAGGGGCAGGACTGTAAGTGCCGGGCTCACAGGGCACCTCGACTGCAGAGCCAACAGGACAGCTATGGCCAGCAGGGCAGAGGTAGCCATGGGAACTGTCAGATGGCATGGGGCTAGAGCTGCCACCAAGGCAAACATACCTGTAGGCATAAACAAAAGCAAAGGGAAAACTAACTTTACATCACAAATATTGCCACAGGCTGCCATCCAAAAAGTTGAACAATCTGTCAGTGAGGAAATGTCATCCAAAAAATATGGATTTAAAGAATAAAATGTCTTTAAAATGCATTACATTTAAATTACATTTACACCAGATCAATTTCTTCTCAGACATTTTATTAACAGCTTATAAACCAAACAGAAATAAACAGCAGCAGCCACACTGAAGTGCTAAAGGTGCTCGATAGCCGGTTTTATCTATTGCAGGGCCCCAATGCAATAAATATCAAAGTGTTTCAAGTGTGGATCTTATCCTGCTGAAGACACCTGCTCCCTCTCCATCAGAGGATCAACAGACTCACATTTAATAGCCCTCGGACATCATCAATTATTTTTCAGATTTTACAATGTATGTGTACTGCCTTGCAATTGATTTTTGAATACAAGATATCTTCCCGGCATATCGGATCGGCCCTTTCAATCCATTTTTAAATCCTACAAATACATCCGACTACTTTCAAGGCATAAGGTGAAAGACCAATTTGCAGTAGAGAAGAACTGAAAGCAGAGGGAAAGACTGGGATATACTTTTTTAAAGAAAGAGAAGGTTAACTTAAAAGGGGACCTATCATGCAAAATGCACTTTTGTACGTCTGTTATACATGAATATGTGTCCCCGGTGTGTCAGGGAACTCACCAAGTGTCAGAAAACACAACCCTCTCTCTTTTCCTCCATACCCAAATCTCTAAAAACGGGGCTGCAACGGATCTGATACAGACTGATACAGATTTTAAATATCTCTGACGTCAGAAACAAGGAGCTTCGCCTATATGGGCAACTCTCCACCTATCAGGGGAATGAGAGGTTGCCGTGGCATGGTAACAGCATGGTAACAGCATGGTAACAGCATGGTAACATGACGCTCATGCCTCGCCCCCCTCCTTTGCAGGGGGGCGTGGTCAGCTGCAGCTCATTTGCCATAGAATCAGCCCTTGCAAAAACAGGGCTGGAATAGAGCAAATAGAGCGAAATGAGGCATGGCTAAAATGCATGATCTGTTTGGTATTTTGAAAAAAAAACTTCACAGACATGTTTTATATAGGTATGGCCCTACAATATATTATTTAAATATAGCATGATAGGTCCACTTTAAAGCAAAACAGGTCAGTTGAAAACATTGAAGTCAACTTCAAAATTATACATGTACTCATTGGACAACACCAACAAACTGGGTGACATCCTCGCCCCAAATATTTAAAAGTGAAAAAGCAGAAGAACAATCGTGTTTACCCAGCACTGCATGGACGAGCATTTGAGAGCCCTGCTATTGCAGGCCTGTCACAAAACAGTCCAGGGGGGCAGGGTGGGCATCCATCAACTGCCTTCATTCCTCTGAAGATGGAAAGTGAGCCTGTGGGGCAGGGGAGCGGAAAGCCAGTTCCAGAGGGGCAGTAGTGGCCAGAAGGACAGATATGGGTTCTGGTAGAGTTCCCCTAAAATTAGGAAAACATCTAAATATTTGAACATCAACAACATGTGTGTACAAAAATACTAACAATACATATTACTGTAAAGTAAGCATTCAGCTCGCATCCAAAGTCTACTACTTCCGTGAGGTCTCCCGAGGCTGATACTTAAAACACAGACCTTTAAAGAACACAAAACCACAATATTTTTAGAGGAGATGTATTTTCAACATGATATGAATACTGAAATAGTACAAACATCATAAATGTCGTCAATGCATGTTGGTTTGAGTGACCAATATGGTGGCCGAAATGTTACATCTCTGTCTGTACATTTAAGTATTTCATGCTTCCGGGTGGACCTTGAGGCTTTATTTTGTGTTAGAGAAAAGTGATTCATCACCAAGACACCATCAATAAGGATAGGTAATTAAATGTAAATGCAGCCATATTTTATATCTTCTGAAGTTGACATTTAGTTGATGGTGCTGTTAAAAGTGAGATAATGGGTAAAAAATGAAAAAAGGAAGCACGAATGTGCTCAGGCAATTTCCACTCAGATTTAGATTTTTTCATTATATAAAAGGTCATTGGGTCAACAGTATCATTAAGAATCCATCTCTAAGAACAAGGACCTACTGACCAACAACTTCAGATTACAAACTAACTGAGGCCACAGGGGAAAAGAACAGCACCTGATACTCAGTGGAGTTAGGGCTGGTTGATTCCCCGGGACAGAAGTATCCTCCCTCACAGAGTCCTGTTGGCTGCGACAGTCCAGGTTGAGAGCAGAACATTCCTGCAGGAACCACCAAAATAATAAAGTATTTGTCATTATTAAGATTTCAAACACTGTAACCTCTCTGTGCACATGCAGTTTATTTATTTATTCATAATTGTTATCAATTAAGGCTTGGGTTATGATGATGTAAAACAAACACTCATTCTTTCCACACCAGCGGGGCAGGGCAGGCAGGCATCTGGGCTGGAGGCTCCGATCTGGCTCTGCACAGTCCCAGGTGGGCACGGGAACTCCAGTCCTAGAGTCACGCCCGGAGGACAGTAATATCCGACTGGACACAGAGCAGGCTGTACAGAACCTGCATCTGAGAAGAATTAAGGTGAAAAATGAATTTAACACAATTCCACACCTTATGATTGTCTAATGTCCTTGACTTTGAAAAGGTACAGCTGCATAATTAAATAAATGGATGATCTGACATTGTCAAATCATTTGTCATTTAGATTAACTGAGATAAAGAAAGGTGTCCATTAGCTGTTCCTATTTTGTATTAACTCTGCTTAAATTAGTGGGATAATAAGCTTCTTTGGACAATCCACATAGAATAGGTGTGAATTTGTAGCTTTCATTAAAAGGGAATATATGGGCTTGTACATTTTCTGCACTAGCCAATCATTTGTGTCCTTTCAACATGTCTCTGATCATATCTGTGTCCCTTATTAAAACATGTCCTGTGGCTGCAGCCTGCACTGCATGCTATTGTGACGAGTGAAAATGAATCACAATCTTTAATCATCAGTGTATGGATCCCTCACTATATGACTGTTGAATAAAGAAAATCCTCTGCCTCTTGCAAAAGATAGCTCAAAGACAATCAATGTTTCCCACCTTGACAGTAATACCCAGGGGTACAGGGGGTGCAGTTGTTTTGATGCGTGTTGGCAATTTCAGAGCTGAAGGTCCCTGCAGGACAAGGTATAGGGACTGATGTTCGACTGGGGCAGAAGAAACCAGCCGGACAGAAAGCGTTATCTGCTCTGCTAGAGCCCTGGTCACAATAAAACCCTGGCCAGCAATCACCTAAAGCACAAAAGGAATAATTACTAATTCAAATGGGGGATATTATCTTCAAAATTAATCAAATTAGGAGAAATGTCTTCCATCAACCTGCTCTCAGCCCCTGTTGGCAGAAAGTCCCGGCTGGACAGAGAGATCCAGTTTTATTGTCAGTCGGGTTGGGCACGGTGGCGCCCATCAGGCAGAGGAACCCAGAAGCACACGATCCTGAAGGTTGAATCAAACCTTCTGATCCACAAAACTGACCCGCTGGACACACTAAGCATTCGCCTGCCAACACAGATTGACAGCTTTGACTTCGGGCCAAACAGCAAAACAAGCTACATGCCAGGTGGGATCAATCACAATGTCTCCAACACGGTTGCACACTGCTGGAGATGCCAATGTGTTAAATTCAACTTAATTAAGGCAATCATTCATTTCAAGAAGACCAATCATATTTTGCCAGCCTTGAAAAGGTTTTATTTTATTGTAGACAGTTCATTCAGATTTCTTCCCCTTTGTTTTTACGTAAAGACTAATAGGAACATCCAATTTGACTGTAGCCCTCAGGAACACCAACACACATCTACCTTAGCAAGGCATTAACTCTCTGAATCAATGTAACCCTAGCCCTATTATTTAAAAAAATAATAATAATGCCAGACAGTTGCGCAATTTAATTCCATTATTTGTGTTTTTCCACAAAGGGTTTTTACCTGTGGAAGTGAGACCGTGGCTGGGGCTGTAGGTGCCTTTTGGGCAGGGGACTGGCTGACTCTCCCTTGGGCAGATGTAGCCGGCTGGGCAGGGCAGAGGGCTGGAGACCCCAGTGGAGCTCCCCCTTGTGGCGCTGGGACTCGGGGACTGGCAGTGGAACCCAGGAGGACAGGGATTACACTCTTTCTGGCCGGCTAAATCCTGGAACGAGCCTGGCAAAGACATTCAAACTGTCATGAAGTCTTTGGAGAGGACAAGGGACTTTGTACAGTATAAAGTTAGCTGGTAAGAGTAATATTTATATAATGTTTTCATCCTGCTTACCAAGCGGGCATGTTTTGCAGTAATCTTTGCCTTTTCCTCCGGTCTCATTTTGGTAAGAGCCAGCCGGGCAGGGTGAGGGCACAATGCTGCCCTCGGAACAATAGTGGCCTGCTGGACAAACACCACCAGATACACTTGACATTGGAGTGGCAGTATGGGACCCCTCGAGACAGTAGAAACCTGGGGAGAAAGATTTTCATAAAATGTTTGAAAAGCTAAACATTTATATCAAGTAAGATTATGCAATGCACTAGCATAACTGATTAACTAGTCAGATTTTGACCTGGCAGGCAGGCTCCAGAGACTGCAGAGAGGCCTGTCTCTGAACAGTAAAAGCCAGGACTGCAGCTACGACACTGAGACTCATCCACAAGCCCGCTCTGCGTACTGTCAAAAGAGGCATTTTAATGACAAACAACTTAATAGTCACTTCAAATCTCTTGTTTTATAACTTGAATATGTATACATACAAATCATTATGTTCCAGATGCATTGTCATCTATGTGAATTTGATGACATCTTCACATTTTCAAATATGACTACTATATTCATAGAGTAACCATGCACTGTAGTAGTGTAGAGTGTAGTGTAAGAGTTCATATCTTTTGTTTTGTAAAAAACAAATGGTTAATTGTCATCACAGATAGATTATAGTATAGAGAAATTGCAGGAAAAGCACCTGAATGTTCCTTTGGGGCATGGTTTTGGCACTGAAGTCCTCACAAAGCAGAAGAAGCCAGGAGGGCATGGGAATCCAGTTAGATTGTCTAGTGGTGAAGGTTCAGAAGCCCCACCAATACAAACAAACCCTGCAGTGCACGGCCCACTGGGGAAAGTCCTCCCTTTAAATAAGAATAATTCAAGCAAGGTTTATCACCCTAACAACAGAGCAGCAATTCACCTCTAATTGTTTCTAAAAGACATCACTAAATACCACAACACTAATAGAGTCAGGAGTGGAGGCATTGTACCTGTTCCTTTGCAGTACACCCCAGAGTCACAAAGTGAGCACTGCCATTCCTCAACCATTCCTGACTTGTTTCCATAGGTTCCTGCTGGACAGGGATGTTGATTGGCTGATCCACTGGGACAATAAAATCCTCTCTCACATGGCATTGGAATGGTCATTCCTGATGTACAGATGGGGCACAGAATGAAAAGGAATTGACTTTTGAAGTGTCAATATTATTTGCATATATGTTCCCAGCTGCTTTGTAATCTAACAGTTTGTCCACCTGTCAGCTTTACCTTGATCTGGACAATGGGAACCAGCAGGACATGTCTCGCACGAGCCCTGGCCTTGTCTCAGCTGGTAGCTGCCTGGAAGGCAAGCAGTCGGTTTGACACTGCCCTGAAGCAAACATTAAATAAAACATTAGACTTAATATCTGCAGAATAACATACATGAAACATAACAATGGTGCACCAATGACAGTGGAGACGGAGACAGCCACAAAACAGGAAGAAGACTGAGATGGTATGACAAAACAGGAAGAAAACATCAATTGACTTATTGTTTGCGGTAATGCACTTGTCACGACAGAAAAATAACTATAGCTAAGAAGGAAGACTCATGCAGACACATCACATATAATATTCAGTAGTGATGACAGACAATAGCTGGCAGACCAATACTGGATGGCTGACCTTCTCACAATAATGTCCCACTGAGCAGACATTTTGTTGTGGTCTCTCAGCGCTCTGCCCCTCAGGACAGTAGTAGCCTTCTGCACACCAGCCACTTGGCTCAGTTTTTCCTCTCTGGTGGCAGTAGTGACCTTGAGGACACTGCTGGCAAGCCTCCACTGTAGACCCACCCAAGGAGCCTGATGGTTGGCACACAATTGAAAATGAACTCATAAATGTATATACAGTACTTAAGTCTTCAATTAAATATTGTTCTATATTTATCTCAATGTGCCATCAGTGATTGTTGACTTGAAAACAAAATTGGCTAAATGAAAGCACTTAAAATAGATAACAATGTTAATATGATGCAAAGCACACATCTATCCCTTCGTCAGTTCCCAATTCATAACCATACAAAGAGCTACAGCACATTTTAATATGATTCTAGTTGTCCGCCGCAAGACAAGAATACAATTACACGATTAAACTACTTTGTTACTGAAATTATTCATAGGCGCCCAAGGAAGATAAAAATGCTTCAATGGAAGCTTTCATTTTCTCCGCATCACCGAACTGCAATGACAGAGACCAGTTCATGTAAGGTCATGAGCGTGCAACACTGACAATGTGTGCACCAAAGAGGATTAGATGTTGTATTTCTAAACAATGTGTCTTATTACTCATACATCATCTCCTCATGACCAAACGAGCCCAATGGATTAATGACTTGCCTGTTTTTAAGAAAAGATATATCAAACACAAAGTATTTTTATAACTAAATATATGATATTATGATATCAATAAAACAATTACAACTATATAAAAAAAGGGTTGGATCTCACTTTGTATGGTTCCAACAGGACAAGGCAGAGGAAGAAGAGTTCCAGGGGGGCAGTAGTGTCCCGGGGGACAAAGGGAGGCATGGGGGTTTAAAGAGCCTTTGGGACAGTAATACCCTGCCGCACAGGGCCCTGTCGGGACATCCAGACCAGTCTTGTTACAGTGAGAGCCAGCCTCACAGAGTAGGGGGAATGCAGAGCCCAAAGGACAATAGAAGCCTGAAAAATAGCCACGGAAAGTATCACTGAAATACATCAACTTCAGCAAGATCCAAAGTCCAATCAGGAGGATTAATGTTCCTAAGCCCACAGTTCCTCTAGAGATGAAGGATTTTTTCAGACTTTAGCTTTTAATTCCCACACTCTTATTTTGTTCGTGTAAAGCTGTTTCTTCCTTTTTTTGTGTTTCTCTTTTATGTGCACCAGCACCAAACCATCTGCAGCTCCTCAAGAGAGAAGTCCATCTATAGCTCTCTTTAGGCTTTCAGGTCTTTATAAATGGGAATGTGAACCTTCAAAAAACACGGTTTTTGAGCAGGGTTATTCTTTTTGAATAACCATCAGCTTTTTTTTAAATGAAAAAAGTAACATTTAATGTATTATTTGAGTGTTCAAATAAAACAAAGATGAAGAGGTATTAAATTGGGTTATCATGCACAGACTGTACAGATAAGATCAAATCAGTCTTATGTCACAGCATTTGAGTATGTGGGACAAACATGTCATGAGCAAGAACGACAACATGTGCGCCTGAAGCAATAAACAAAGTATCACATCAAGCTAACACAGGTTCACTGTCAGGATTTACCCACCCTTAGGGCATATGTCTCCTCTGTAGGTGGAGCAGGCATAATGTGGACTCTTGAGACATGGCGGTGAGTCACTCAGAATGCTGTCTGAATCTGCCTGAGGTGGCGTTACCACTTCAATCCAGCCAGCTTTGCTTCCTATAATAGAATACAGTCAATACAACATGAGAGATGTCCCAGTTAGTATATTTGTCTTGCAGAGAGGAAACCAAAAAAGGAGTTTCTCTTGTCTCTGTAAATGCTGAATAAACAGTTCAAACTGCCAAAAGAACAAAAATAAATACAAACATGTAACACTGAAAGGAGAAAGATTAATTGTAGACTTCTTGAGGGGAAGGTTAGGCTGAAAATGCTACTGCTTTGTGGGACATTTATCAAAACATGCAAGGCTTTGTGGTCTAGTTGAATAATTTAGAGAAAGTCATGCCCTTTTAAAAAGGATGCATTTGCTGTGTTATTACATCAAGAGACACATATTTTACCAGAGTTCCGGGAGTTATTGAAGCAAGACAGATTGTGAATCCAGAGGGCGGCGTCTGTCTTCGGTGTATAATCCTCCAGTATTTCACAAAGACAGCTCAATGAAGCGGAGTTTGCTCGAGGTGTGGGGCTCTCTGTATCTCCAGAGCAGAAAAAACCTGCAAAGCACAGACCTGACACAAGGAGGTAATAGAAAACATGGAAAGACTATCCATTACATATTATGTCCTCCTAGTTTATCAGTTCATTATATTATGTATTTAATCGCCAGAAAAAATTGTTTATGTGCACAGCAATTCAGGCATCTAGAACATGACCCTGCACTTAGTTGTGATTTACATCTAAAGCATGACACGTGGATTTTAAACAGTCTTATCATCGAGTGCCAACTAACTCTCCTTGACTAACTGGAAACCTGGTGAAATCCCCCACCTGTGGGCTGTGAGCTTCCAGGACTGACGCAGTATTTCCCTGGGGAGCAACGGCGGCACTGAGTGGGGGAGGAAGCTCCAGGCTCTGGGAGGAAGCTGCCCGCGGGACAGGGTATTGGTAACCCACTACCTTGTGGACAGATGTGCCCCATGGGACAAACATCTCCATAAGACTGCGAGACAGGGGAAGGCTCAGTGGACCCCAGGGAACAAACATGTCCTGTGGTAGATAATGCTATTAGACATCTCACTGACAACCTGCAACATTCATGGGAAACTGTGGCTCAATTCAGTGAAGAAATACAGGAAAGGAAAAGACACTTGAATAACTCAATTTTCTGAAACCATTTCCCATGGTCATGCTGGTCTGTCAAACCTGGGCTGCAGGGTCCAGACGGCTCTGTCAGGCCACTGCTGTTACAGAAGGAGCCAGAGGGGCAGGGGGGGCAGTCAGCCAGGGACGTCCTGCCAGCTGATGCACTCACACTGCCCATCGGACATGGAGATGGCACAACTGAACCCTCCATACAGTAGAATCCTGGCCATGGTATATTTTAATCATTATAGGCTTCAGTTCACTTTGTATATTTGTGTTCACGTCATAAAATGTGAGTTAATTACCTGGTGGGCAGCTGTTACAAGTGTGTTGTCCAGATACAGATTGAAATGTGCCAGGGCTACATATGTCCGGCTCAGCACTACCGAGTGGACACACATGGCCAGGTGGACAGCGATGGCCTGCAACACAATTAGATAAATGAAAAGTTTAAACTGTCCTCTCGTCCCTCCTTGTTTACATGGATAACAAAGAAATGTGAAGATAAAATATGCTTCTTATTTAATGTATCATCTTAAAGACATTTGTGTTGCACTTTCTGATGTAAGAAAGCATTGCTGTTGCCATACTCTATTTAGTACCATGGAAAAAAGGACTGAATAAGAGAGTGACTGAGCAAAATGTGTCCTGTAAAAGAAGAGAAGAGAAAGCAGGCTCAGCTAGATGCGTGCCCTGACTCTGAGCTGGAGACTCTTTATGGATTCTGGGCCATTTCAGGTTCAAATTAGTAAAACGCCTTCTTGTTGAGTGGAGAAAATAGGTCGAGGATGCCTTTAAAAGAATATCTAGGTGTGCATGTGGGAGGAGGAAAGCACATCTGAGGCATATAATCACCTCCATGGTACAGCATATGAATAGTATGATTTGTTCTGCTACAAATCTATAGAACCAGTAACTCAACCAGGTACAGAAAAACGAGATTTGGAGAGAAGACCTCATGAAAGTACCTTAATAAAGTTTAAAAACATTCATACAAAGGTGGGTCCTAAAGGATTGCATGCTGGTAATCAAACAGATGATCAAATATGTCAAGTTATATTTAAAATAACTCAACTAAATAGAAAAACAGTGCCACAAAACAACCAAAATAGATGGGACGTAGTTGCTCTTCGTAAAACCCATATATCTCCAACATTTATTTTCAGGAAAGCTTAACGATTAGGTGTTCCTTCTCTACCTTCCTTCAACTTGATAAACAACAACCAACTGGAAAATAAGAAGAGGCAATGAGCTTGAGATTCTGAAGACACATGGTTTTCACAGACAAGACAAATGCCATATGGAGAATGTTGCAAACCATTATGCAGTATGATACAATGTTTGTAAAAGAAATACATTTTTCAAAGTACAGACATTTTTCCTTGTAGTACTTTTCTTATCCACTTGATGTGCAATATCATTCACTTGTGAAGTTGCACAACAGTATGACCTTTACAGGGAGAGAATGAAGTTAAGCTTGGTCTTCTGAATCAACTTCATCATGTGAGCATTATTATTTGAAGCCAGACTTACAGTACATGATCAGACATTGTGCTCAGAAACAAAGGTAAAAAAAGAAGCGCAAGGAAGTGCAAAGACTCCCCTGCTTGAACTTGAGCTGACCCCTGATGATGTGTAGTGTACCTGGCTGATGTCCAGACACTGATCCTGGTGGGCAGAACCACCCCGGGGGACAGAGGAGGTCGGCAGATGTCTGAGCCCATGAGGGGCAGTAAGACCCCGGGTAACAAGCTGCACAGTCGGCCTCAGACTCAGCTGCAGACCTTCCCAAGAAAGTGCCTATGTTGGGCAGACAAATTATCATTAGAGCAAAGATCACTTCTTTTGTCTCTCTCTCATAGACATATACATCCAGAGAACAGGAAATAGTATGACATAATCATGTTAAACAGTATATGTGCACCATGTATGGCTCAATTATTTCACTTAAGGTTAAGTAGCAAGCTGACCATTTTGACAGTTTTATTGGGCTCCTATTAGCTTTTACAACCATCTGTAAAGCTCTGGATACATTAAGCCATTATATTGTACCTCTGGGGGTTTTATGGAACTGTACACTACCTTTAGAGGCAGTGTAATAAAAAGCAAGAGGTCAGACACAATAGTCATTAAGTGAAATGACAGAATAATGATATACTTATGTTTAGCTACATGTTCATAATAGAGAAATAATGTCCTCTTCTTTCAGAACTCTATTCAGATATTTTAGTTTGTACCTGGAGGACAGGGGCTTGGCTTTGCACTCCCTTTAGGACAGTAGTGGCCTGCAGGACACACACCACCATGGAACTGACCCATGGTTGAATTGCCAGAATGTGGGGATGTTGGTGTGGTTTCTCCTGTAACTGAGACAATAGACCTTTACTGCATGTCATTACTCATTAGGTTAGTGAGTGTACTAAAAGGCCAGAGCCATTTGCTGCATTCCCAGGGAGAGATATACTACTAGGAGAAATCAGTGGAAGTGGTGGTAGTGTTCTGTGGAGAAAGAACCAGCACTGTGGAGTCAAAGGTCATGAAAATGTTAAATAAAAAAGCAGTGCTTTGATAGAAAATATTGCATAGAAGAACATTGTTCAAGCTTGTGTCGGATGTCTTGTTTTTCTATATTACAAACTAGTTGTTCATGGTTGCCAAACACTACTTAAAGTGCAAGAACAATCAGTCTATTACCTGTATAGTTACCCCAAGGTGTGGCTGTTCTGGATCCCTCCCTGCAGTAAAAGCCTGGCTTGCACAGCCCAGATGGGGAGGAAAGGCCAACCTCAGCGCAGTAATGACCAGGCAAACAGGGCTGACATACTTCTATAGAAACTGCCCCTGGAACAACAGAAACACAATTTGTATGTTTGATGTAAATGATTCAAATGTGATTAATAAGGGTCAAGTGAAATAATTCCACTTGGAAAAAGATTAGATCAATAACAAAAATTCCCAGTTACATTGCCGATAGCTCCAGTTAAGTCAGCCCATTATGTTCAAATGTCAGCAACAGTGCATCTGTAATTATTCAGTGTTTTCACCGTCTATGGAGCTGAAGGTGCTTGCAGGGCAGGGAACCATCAAGCTGGTACCCTGGGGGCAATAGGACCCTGGAGAGCAGCGGCCTCCTGTTGGGCCCTCCTCCGGCTGGGCAGAAACAGAACCATGGATACAGAGGTAACTATGGGCAGCAACATAATGAAGACAGAGACGATAGGGAGGGGGATGTGGGAGGTAGGAAGTGATAGACGAAACAGAGGGAGACAGAGCAAAAGTGAGGTTTAATTATAGAAAAGGGAGACAGAATTAAACAAGAACAGTATATCTTGTAAAGTCTTTCTATTAGTATGAAGTATGTGTTCAGATTGCATGTGTTTACCCAGGAGAGCAGACCCCAGTGGGAGCAGCCAGTCCAGAGGAACTGCAATACCTCCCTGGAGGGCAGAGCGCACAGCCCGACTTATTGGACAAACCCATCTGCCTGCTGAAGGCACCAGCTGGGCATGGGAATGCTACACCAGACTGTGTTCCTGCAGATAAATAGCGTATAATATCTACAGATGGTCCAGGACTTAACATCACAGAACACTTTGTGAAGGCTGTCCTTATCTTGATTATGCTCTATAAATCGACATTTGCATAATTAGAAAGCCATTTACTGTTACAGCCACTTAATCTTGAGTACACACAAAACAAGAACAATATTCAACACTGCTTTGCATGAAGTACAACACGTTTTTATACCATTAATCAATACCACTGAGCCTGAACCATTACTTGTGTCCCACATATATTGATACCTGACAACATTATTCACTTGTCAATATGTGTGGGAATAGCTGAACTATTGTACCCTACCTGGTGGGCAATAGTGTCCTTTTGGGCACAACGTGGGAGAGTGAGTGCCAGAAACATGCACAGTGCCACTATCCACTGATCCAGCACAGTAAAATCCTGCCGGACATTGAAAACACTCTGCCTGTGGAGAAGTAAATAGTGCTCATTATTCTATATACAGACTAGTCACAAGAGTTTGACAACTAATGTCCACAAATGTAAACAGACATGAAACGTTTCGATTCTTGTGTTGAAGAATCTAAAAGCTAAACTTGAAACTGTTTACAGTACACAGAGTGGTTGGAGATGCTTTCAGGAGGCCATTATTTTTTCTTTATAATGAGTGAATAACAAAGTCTCACAATACACCCATCTTTTAAACAGTTAGTCAATAGCACTACTAGATCTAGTTTGAAAGTAAAACTTTGTTTTCAACCAAGTATATCAAGCCTTATACTGAATAATTGAGAATTGCTGCTACTATAGGTTATTCTATTTGCATTATATAGTGGATGCACTTTGCCTTTGGGACTATAGGTCCAATCAGAATATGAGCATACTGTTCAGCCTCATCCTTCTCACCTGACCAGGTAAATCCTGGTAGGTTCCTGGTAAGCAAGGCACCTGTCTACCAGATCCAGGTGGGCACATATTTCCAGGTGAGCAGGGTATAGCGGCCTGCTGGCTGCTGTTAACTTTGCCTGGGCAGTAATAGCCCGCTGGACAGATATGAGAAGGGAAAGAGAGCCCTCTGGTGACACACAGGAAACCTACAAAACAAAATGAGCACTGTTGAGCAGCAGCACACGTCGTGTGAAGGGATTATGCCACCGATAAATCAAGTTATGTAATGAATGCTTTATCTTCTGGCAGATAGAAGGCACATAATTAAACACTAATGTATGCAACATAAATTAGTTCCAACCTGGAGGACAAGTCAGACAGTCGGAGAGATAACGGTTTCTGGTTGTGTTGCTGTAGCGTCCTATAGGACAGGGCACTGGTGCTGAGGAGCCCTGGGGACAGTAATGACCTTCAGGACATCTGTCCCCTGTCGTTTCTCCATCCTCTGGTGTGGGTGACCAGGCCCCAGAGAGGCAGTAGTACCCTGCTTCGCATTGGCCTGTTGCAACACTCTTCCCAGGAGACAAACAGAAGGAGCCTGGTTTGATAGGAAAACGAGTGAAATTGAATGGAAGGGAAAACTACCCTGAATTACCCTGCAAAGCGGAACATGGGGGAAAAGGCACTGCATACCGTATTAATTCAAGTTTCGGTGCAGCATTTGTTTGATTTATGTTAAAAACAGTTATTGATAAAAGTTGCTTTTTAAAGTTTACTTATTCTGGCAATACAGTGTTTAATTTCCATGGACCGTCAAGGTCGTCTTAAACTCTTAGTCAACAACAACAACTTTAAGGATAAACATTGGTAGTAAATGGTGTGTGACCTGGAGGGCAGAGCAAGCAGTCCTGGGGTTGTGCCATCCGAGTGTGGGGGTTAATGGAGCCAGCTGGACACGGGTACTGGTGTTTGGACCAGGTCCCGGACGGACAGTAATGACCCACTGGACACTCATAAGTCCTCGACAGAGAGCCGTTATTGCCAGGACAGTAAAAACTATCCAGACAAAACAAAAAAGGATGGGATAATTTAGTTCTTGGCTACTAAAAGTGGCATTGAAACATGAATATACTGTTCCTATATATATGTATGCAGTGCTCGGGGGGAATTCATTTATGTGTGTAAACATCTACTATTTAAAATCATGTTTATATGTGACAATTTATCTATGTTTATGGTGCAGTGTGACTGCGTGTGGCTAACAAGAGAGTTTACCCCTGGGGACAGGCACCGCAGCCGGCTCTGCTGTCCTCCGTACTGATGGTTCCCAGAGGGCACTGCTGAGGAGCCACAGAGCCCTCAGAGCAATAATATCCTGGATGTGTGAAGGCAAGAGTCATGAAAGTGCTGCACACTCAAGTGCACACACAGAGACACGCACAATCTACAGGGGATAGGGTTCAGTATCCACTGTCAACAGAGTAGCTGCTTATGTCAAGCCCTATTAAGTTAAAAGGTTTTGTTTACCTGGTCACTAAGCTTGTTCTGGGTTTATGTAAATGTGTAACCTAATTGTGTACCGCACTTATTTGTATTTTATATACTGTAATGCTTAAGAAATTGCGTCTTGCTGCCATTGCCTGTAAACAATGGAAACCTTATTACTCTATCCCAGTGTGTTCTGTATTGACTCTCTTTGTGCATTTTCTTTAGAGAGTTTGTTCTGTAATTATTTGTTTTAATATTAAATACAGATGTCTTGATTTGAAGGGATCTGATTACCTTTTGGGCACGGTCCTCCCCGGCTGTCTATCAGAGGAGGGTCAGGGCGATCTGCACCCCCCAGACAGAAGAAACCTTCCCAGCATTCCCCTGAAGGGACCGAAAGCCCTACAGCATCACAATAGTAACCAGGGAGACATGGCTGGCAATCCTCCTGAGAGGGGAAATAAAACAGACAGAGAGAGGAAAGTAAAGAGAGAGATGGGCAGTTAGAAAATGAAAGAAAGAGAGTGCCTCATTGTAACATTGATTTGGGATTAGATATTGATTGGCTGTCACACTGAAAGACAGAGGAAACATGTAAGTACTTCTCCTCTTAATTGTATACTGATTAGGGTGCATGTAATGTAGCAGGACCATACATTTGTTTGGAAAGTACAGTATTTAAGACATCCTCACAGTGTTTTATATTAAATACTAGGAAATAATGAAGAAGTAAAAACAAAGAAAATAAATGACTACATAATTAACAGATAATTAATATAAATGAATACATATTTTTAATGGATGATTTTGTTTTATAATGTCGCATCATTCATTCTTTGTCTGTCTTTTAAGATAAACAGGGAAGAGCCAATTATGGGGCTGGCTGTTGCTATGAATACAATAAATATATACCACATTTCTTCATGTGAGTATGAGTATTCATTTCATGTCCTATGAATCACTGATTATCCTCATTTGATGCAGGAAAACAATTATATTTAGTTAGTTTAGAATATTTGTTTTCATTATTAACACAAAAAAAACGAATATTGTAAAAGATACAGTATATGTAAGAGCAATATTGATTCACAGTGACCTGGGAGGCTAATTTGGTGAGATCAGAGAATGTTCCACGTGGACAGGGCAGAGGATTTATGGCGGCTTGGGGGCAGTAATGACCGGCAGGACACGGCCCTCCCTCTTCTGATGAGACACAGAAAACAAAACTGCCATTTGTCAAAAATCTCCAAATAGGAACATTGATGGAGAACGACTTCCTCACATAATAACAAGGCTGACAATTCCATATTTCCTGAATGTGTGAACCTGCGGTAGATATCTGGTAAATATATGTATCACCTGCAGCCCGTAACAGGGGTTGTGGAGAGGTGTTTCCATGTGAGCAGTAATATCCTTCTTGACATTGTCCAGTGACAGCTGTGCCATTTCTGGAAGAGCAGTAATGGCCGCTGTCACACTGCCTGCACTGAGAAACGGACCAGTAGCCGGGGTCAGGGCCATAAGTTCCCTCTGGACAGCCTTTTAAGTCAAATCCAGTTCTTTCAGGGCAGTAAAAGCCTGTAAGCCACATAACAGTCACAAAAAACGTTTATAGATAAAAAAGGATACGACAACATTATCAACACTGAAGTAATATGAGTGGTTTCAAGGACATACGATGCAACAAATGACAGACCTGGAGGACACGAGTACAGAGAGCCAGACACACAGTACCAGCCTGCCACACATGGCTCACACTCAGTAGCATGTGTAACAGCAACATATGTCCCTGGTTTACAAGGCAGAGGTTGAACAGTGCCCTCTGGACAGTAGGAACCCTCAGGACATGGTCCCCCTGTAATTCCATCAGTAGGGTTGGGTGTCACGGCTCCCTTAACACAGTAAAATCTGCAAAAGAAACATGAAATGAGACTGTGAGCATGACAGAAAGAAATGCAATAACAAGGACAACATTTTTATTTTGTGACAAGCGGTATACCCCCCACTGCAAGGCCCACTAGGTTTAGTGAGACCAGCAGAGTCGCAGTAAAACCCCCCCAGACACAGTTTGCAGTCCTCCTGATTATGCAGTCCTGAGCTGTTTGACCAGCTGCCTTCAGGGCAGGCCATAGGAGCTGTTGTGCCTGTTAATATGAAACAAACATTAAGAGAACTATTAAAAGACTATTAAAATATGTCACGAACAATGGAGTTATTGGGTTTGTCAATGCAATATAGTGTACATTTGTTGTACACATTGTTATTAGATATACAGTGTAACTAAATAAGTGAGACATGTTGCTGCGTGCAGAGTTGATAAAGTCAGAGTTTGCCCTACAGCAGTATTTCTAAAGCATAGGTCAGTGCCCCAAGTCTGATAGGACAACAATAAGTGCACACATTAGTTTGAAGAAAACTGTATACCAAGTTTCAAGATAAATGTTGTCAGTACTTCCTGTAGGCCACCAAATGAAAATTAGCATGAATAAAACATTGTAGCCTGTGAATTTGACTGGGTAGAATGTTAATAGCCTAAAACAGTATATATTTGGTTACATTAATCTACGAATCAAGTGTTGGATTTAAAAACATTATTTTAAAAACTTGGGAAGTTTATAACATAAAAATATAGCAGCAATGAAGCAGCTGATGGCTAATGTAATGAAATGTAATGTAACATGGCTGATGCAAGCCAGTAACCTGAGGGGCAGTATTGACCAGGTGGACACAGGGAACCTGAGCGTCCATCAAGTGGGCTTGGAGAGGAAGCCCCCTCTCTGCACCAATAACCAGTATTGCATGGTCCTATAGGTAGTAGAATATAACAACACGTAATCATGATACAGTAATGTAGACAAAACCACAGCTCCACAGTACATGCTACCTAGTACAAATTTGGGGTTTAACGACTTGACCAACAAAATTAGCTTTTCAGCTTTTAGTCGCTGATATACTGTACAGATACTTGAATGGAATGGCTGACATGGAGGATTAAGAAAAATGTGCAGTGGTCTCTTAATTTTTTTCAGAGCTGTATCTGTCTAAACCAAGGAAAATAATCAGAATACCATTATTCGTCCCACAGTGGGGACATGAACATTGTAACAGCAAAAGTGAGGAAACTACTCAGCTGTGAGTAGGAGCTGCTGTAACAAGGCTGCCACTCAAGCAGCACCAGAACTTAATGACAAAAATACTGTAAATCCATAGCTTTTTGCGCTAGAGTTAGGTTAGAGGAATAGGTTTATTCACCATTTATATGTTGCTGAATAGTTGTATGTACAGTACATATCTGCTATATATGTGATGATAAAACGCCTTGCTTTTTTACAATGATTATGTCTAAAATCAGATACTCCCATGTGGGTCTTAACTTTACTTAAAACATTAGACTGTAATTCCAACAATCTTTCAATGTCTTCTCATGTTAAACATGATGTGTTGTTTGATAAGCCATCTGGGGGGTTTATATAAAGATCAGAACACCTTTGGTCCTGTGTACACTGTTTGTATTGACTCGCTATTAACACACTTGGGAAAATGTTGTTATTCATTTCCTCCTCAGCCATAATGATTTCAAAATTCTAGTTTGTTGCATAATCCCATACATAGCAGTCCCTACTACCGCTTAAAGTAATGGTGTAGGAAAAAAGGAAAAGCGATTAAAAGAAGAGGTCACCCTCTTTCTCACCTGCCGGCTCTGACAGGCCCACAGAAGGACAGAAGTGTCCCGCAGCGCAGGGCATGCAGGAGGTGAGGCTGGCAGTGTGCACTCTCGGGTTGAAGGAGCCACTGGGGCAGGGGTGTTGGTCGGGCATGCTTGTACCTGCAGGGCAGTAGTGTCCTTTGGGGCAAGGCCGCAAAAAAGAGGCATTGGCTAGTCTCAAATCGCAGTAGTACCCTTGACAGAAGAAAAACACACATATTTTAATAAGCATTATAAAAAATACTTACAAAAACAATTGCATTTGTAGAACACTTCTTTCAACAAACTTGTAAAGTGCTGTATACAGTGCAGTTCATTCTTATTTGAACAATGTAAAGTATTTTGCCAAGATTTTTAAATGTTCTGTGTAAATTAAGCTTATATACATTATTATTCTTGTTATATAATAAATTGAACAGGTGCATGTGAGTGAGTCATCAACTTCAATAAATGAACACTTGCTGGGTTGCTGAGAGCTGTTTTCATTACACCGTCTTCAGTAAATCAGAAATGCCACAAGGTCAACAGCAGTGTTTAGAAAGAAAATAAATACATCCTTCTGTAGAGAAGATAAAAAAGAAGAGTAAAGCGCTCTTATACCTGCGCCACAAATGGTGCAGGTTGCCTGTTTCTCTCTGTCCTGGTAGGTTCCTGACGGGCAAGGCTCTGGAGTGGCACTTCCCTGCACACAGAAGTGACCTGGAGGACACGGCAGAGCTGTAGCCACTGTCTGACCAGGCGGGCACCAATAGCCTAGGTGACAAAACACAAAATAGAGCAAAGTGTGCAAGGATGGAAAGGAGGTTGAAGCCGAACAAAGAATGAATCAAGAACATGTATCTTTATGAAACAGGCAACAGCCGAACACTTTTAAACCGTTTATGTTAAACGATGAGACATAATACAATGCATGGACTACCTTGGCTGCAGGGTCCAGTTGGAGCCCTGAGACCTGCTTCTCTGCAGTAGACACCTGCAGTACACGGCTGACAGCTCGCCTCACTGGTTAGACCTGGCACTGGGGAGAAAGTACCTGCTGGACACAACTCTGGCTCTCCTGAGCCCTCAACTGCAGAGAGAAAAAGTCATTCATTCAGCCTTTCATTCCTTTCCTTTACATACCAATACTTATTCTAGACCGAAAGTCTATTCCAGGATACACTGAGTCAAAAGCATGAACAAACTCCACACAGGTCAACAGTAGACAGGCTAACAAAAGTTGACTCAAGATGACTCACTCTCATACCCATGGGTAATTAGGTTGACAGGTCTACTTGAGTCATAGCTATGACTATGCTATGACTTTGAAAATGAAATGTAATACAGCTACTTAAGAGTCTTAGGTTCATGTCATTTGCATATATTTGGACTGCAGAAAGACATTTGAAAATCAAAACAAAACCCCAGGGTTAAAGGCTGGGCCTTTCCATCCTTTAAAAAAAACCCAATTCTAAGCAATATCAAAGAACTGCCCTTTGAATAATGAATAAGATTTGATAAGACTTTGCAGACTCTCATTCTGCATTGTATTGGTATATGATGCAAAGTGCATACATATTACTTATTTCATGGGGTCAGTTTCTCCCAACCCAGTTTACTTCGGCTTAAGGCTATATTGTCACACATTTCCTGCATGGGAACAAATATAGATCCTTAAAAACTTGGACATAGATTAATGGCAGACATCAAAAGCTAGAGAAAAGTGGTAACATTATGAATATGTAAATATTTTTCTTCCAATCAAACTCAATTATACATTTAAAAAAAACAGTAGGCCAAGTATAAGTGGTACTAATGCATTATGGACTTCACCAAGATATTAACTTTTTTTTATTAATATATAAATAAAACCTTTGTTGGCAGGTTAGTAATACAACTGTTCCAAAGAAGTAAAGTGGCGCTTACCACAGTATGCCCCAGGTGGACAGATGCTGCCTGTTCCTCCATCTGTTGGTTTGGCTTCAGTTGCTCCTCCAACACAGAAATACCCAGGGAAGCAGGGTCCCATCGGCAGAGCCAAACCTTTTTAACAACATGAGGACTTTTATGAGTTTTCTAAATACCCAGAGATATTATGTATAAGTGGCCTTAAGACTGAAATCCCCTTGTGTAGAATAATGTGTGAGCCCCCCAAAATGTCATACAGTACATACACTTCCATATAAATCCGAAAATAATCACATGACTGATTATAAACGGTCTTAACTTATACAGATCAAATAAACAATAGCTTTTCCAACCAAAAATAAATCCAAACTTATAGTTCTGATTGAGAACATATTTGTAATTCTAGTTCCATGTGTGTGATTGAAAGAAAAATGTGTTCACTTGCTGGGGTCAAATATGAAAAACCAGGCCATTAAAATGCTGTGACTAGTGTGAATGAGTAGGTCTTTAATTGGATTTCAAATACCTGAGATGTTACAGAATGTTCCAGGTGGACAAGGCACAGGCTCTGAGCTACCTAAGGGGCAGTAAAAGCCCGCCTGGCAGCGCCCCCCTGTAGATGTAGCTGGACAAAGACAGTTGGCATTTGTGTAGTTGTCCAGGTCAAAAGGCTGGGAGTTCCAAGCAGCTGACACACAAAACCAACCTGAGAGGAATAGATGAAGCAAAAGACAGAGCAGGAGACAATGAAGTGCTTATGTTGTGACTGCTGTCTATATTTGTGATTTACATGTGATTTACATCATGTTGCCAACATAAATTCAAATCAGTTTAGATGTCACATCAGATGCTGACTTTCCGAACAGGGTAAGAAAAACACGCTCCACAGAGCATGAAACTCACAAGAGCGAGAAACATAAGAAACATGACAAACAAACCAGGAAGCCACTGTTGTATTATCTGCATGAGACTTGTGTGCATTAGGGTTGATGGCATATGGAGCCAGGCCATTTGTCGCCTTAATATAGAAATAAATAATACAGGGAATTATCTGAAAGCTGCTGAAACACTATAATAAAGCTGTAAAGAGAGGGGAAGTAAAATAATGACAGATGTGGCTCGTGTTGAGATGTGATTTGTCGTGCTTAATACGTACTTTTAGAGCAGCAATTGACAGCAATTTTCCCTAACTGCTTTGGAATGGCTTGCAAGACATAAACTAGGCTGGCACAGAGTATAGAGTCCTGCCACTTTGTAAGCAGGCTGTATGGCTGAGATTGTGTCTTTTGTAGAAAATTACACTGACCGGCTTTGCATTTTCCAGACACTTTGGTCAGCCTCTCCTTCTCACAGTAGTGTCCTGGGGGACAAGGCAGGCAGCTGTCCAGACTCTGAGTCATTGGCTCTGGGTTGTAGTATCCACGAGGACAGGGAAACTGGGTGGCATGCCTTGTACCTACGCATAAAATACAATCTAATTTCAAGTGATACACACCATTTCAGCGTTTTAAACACATTTATCCGTGAGAATCTTTAAGCACACCAAGAAGTTTCTAGATGCTACCCTCGATGAATTCATAAAGAAACACAACCATGACTGATAGTGGTTTGGGAGAATCTACCGTCGGGGCAGTAGAAACCAGGGGGACAGGGGGACTTGGAGAAGTTTCCAGTCTTCTCTGGACAGTAGTAGCCAGCAGGGCAGCGGGAACACACTGATTGGCCTGTGAGGATGGAGTAGGCTCCAGCTGGGCATGGCACTGAGCTCGCACTACCCTCAGGGCAGTAATGAGCTTGTGGGCAAAGACCTCCTTCTGAGCCTGGAGAGCATATAACAATTAGATGTGGTAAATTACTGAGATTAGTTCTGCTTAGCCCTTAATGTGATGAATCATGTGATAAACACTGATTAATTCAGTAATCATGCGTTTAACAAAACACCCTCTTACATTCGCTTTTCCTGCATTTATCAGCATCTGTTTTTCTTCTAGCTGATGGTTATTCATAAGATCACTCTCCAAACATTATAATCACAGCCCTCCACAATTTCCCATTGCTAATCAATGATTAATTAACTATGTTATCATTGTGTTCATATTTGAAGGTGGGTGGACTAGGTTTTACCTTGCAGAAGATATGAAGCAAGGGAGTAAATCATTTTTGACATTATACTACAAGCACAAAATAAATTAACTTCTCATGAATAAAATAAAACTCAATATTTTGCAATTCTACCTGTAGCTTTTGTGTCTCCCCCTGGACAGTAAAATCCTGCCTGACACAGTCCAGATGGACGAGTGAGACCTGCAGTGCCACAGAAAACACCCGCTGGACATGGATTACAGCCAGAGACGTCTGTCAGATGAAGACTGCAACCAGAGATGGGGTCGTTACTAAAAAAAGTAATATATTACATATTACATATTACTTTTTAAAAAGTAATATATTACACTACTTCGTTACTCTCTAGATAAAGTAAATCGTTACTTTACTCGTTACTTTACTCGCAGGGCCGGCCCGCCCCTACAGGCAGATCACACAGACTGCGGCGCACCTACAGTGTAAGCGCGCCACAGTTTTGCCTCTGCGAGACTCCACTTGCACCCCCAATTACTATTGCATTAAGGAAGACATAACACAAGTCTTTCTTTTTATATGCTCTAAAATAGGCTACCAGCCTACCACAACAAGTTAACAGTCTGTGAAACGTAAAGACACTAATTAATGAAACCAGTTCAAGACGCATTATTCTTATCATTCTTTATGAGCGCAGTAACGGTAAGGTATCTAATGACTTATGTATTTAGTATTCCATAACTTAGTAACAGAGATGGTCAAACTAAAGTGGTAGAGACACAGCAGAATTCCTACAATGAAACGGGGCATTGAACTGTTCACCCGTGAGAGGGCGATCAACAAAAGAGAGCGAGCGGCCCCGTTGAGGGAGTTTACAGATGAAAAGACTCAGCCATGTTTATGCAGCACTGCTGCACGTGGAGATGTTATGGGCATAGATATGTCTCATAATTATTTGTGTGAACTTAAAAATAATTTGTGTGTAAATATGTGATTTGTAAATGTAAAACAACATCCACAAATGCATTTAAAAGATTTGCAAACTCACAAATACATTTGCAAGTGTAAAACGGATCTGCAAATACGTTAAATATGTTCACAAATAAAAAAAAGATCTGTGAATATCTCTTTAACATTTACACCTTTCGATCAGGCATTTGTGAATCCATTTTGTATTTGTGGACCAAAAATGCGCTTGCGGATCTCAAATCTCTGTTCGCGGATCGTGTTTTTACACACACGGAATTTTGAGAGATATTTTCCGCCGGTCTCGACTAAAATCTACTCGTGTCACTCGGTTATTTTCGGAAACCACGTGATGGCCTGCTGATGACGACATTTCCACATGATTTCAAAGTAAGAGCATGATGGTTTGTTTAATGCTCTGTTTTTGTATTATAATGAACAGCGGAACGTTAGATGCATTCTTCATCACCATCACCATCATCATCATGTTATAGTGATACAGTTAGTTTGTGTTATTGGTTCAATATAGCATATATCGAGCACTTTCGTTGATGTTGAAGTGCAGGCTATACGCCACTTTCGGGTCCCGGGGGAGCAGCTGGCAGTGAAACAGCCCAGATAAAACTCTTTCTTCATTGTTTGTTGTGTATTCAGTCAAGCGGGTCGAAGTTACAAAGCACTTCACATCTTATTAATCGGCCTAATTGTACCTTACCAGTGCAGTAATAAAGTAATCTGTAGAAAAGCACCGTATTTAGGTCAGGGTTATGGTGATGAAGAATACATCTAACGTTCCGCTGTTCATTATAATACAAAAACAGAGCATTAAACAAACCATCATGCTCTTACTTTGAAATCATGCGGAAATGTCGTCATCAGCAGGCCATCACGTGGTTTCCGAAAATAACCGAGTGACACGAGTAGATTTTAGCCGAGACCGGCGGAAAATATGTCTCAAAATTCCGTGTGTGTAAAAAGACGATCCGCGAACAGAGATTTGAGATCCGTGAACAGAGATTTGAGATCCGCAAGCGCATTTTTGGTCCACAAATACAAAATGGATTCACAAATGCCTGATCGAAAGGTGTAAATGTTAAAGAGATATTCACAGATCTTTTTTTAATTTGTGAACATATTTAACGTATTTGCAGATCCGTTTTACACTTGCAAATGTATTTGTGAGTTTGCAAATCTTTTAAATGCATTTGTGGATGTTGTTTTACATTTACAAATCACATTTTTACACACAAATTATTTTTATGTTCACACAAATAATTATGAGACATATCTATGCCCATAAAATGTGGTCTCGCAAATCGCGCAGATTACATAGGCCTACATGCAGGGCCGCCCCTTGCCAACTTGGGGCCCCAAGCGACATTGTGAGATGAGGCCCCCCCCCCACCGACAGGAGTGAAAACATGTTTGAAAATATAATTCCTGTTTATTATTATTATCAACAGTTACTTTTTTATACAGTGAGGTAATGGTAAATGTGCATGTATGTCGTTCAGTATGCGTTTACAGGTGAATACTAGCCTCATAAAGATTAAAATATAATTAATGCAAATAAACTACTTCTACTAATAATGATAATCATAATCAATTAAATAATACAAATACTATATTGTTTTATTATAATATAGTCAAGACAAAACATGCTTATGACATGCTCAAAAACTGATATTTTTGAAATCTGTATTATAGTTCCCTCTGTCAGCAGTGTATCAACAACTACACCCACACACATCTCTATCAGTATTTATCTGTGTTGTGGTTGACATGATGATGACTCTTAGGAGTTAAGGGGAGAGGCTGAGCATCACCATGAAATGTGCAAATTGACATAAAAATGAATAAAAGGGGAAAAAATGCTCCATGTTTTTTAGGCTGTAAACTTTAACTGTTATGTAAGCCAACTAGACAGACAGTGTATCACTCTTCCTCCTGTACATTAGCAGATAAAAGGCATAACATACTTGAATGAATGGTAAATTAAGAATGCTGGAAATAACTGCATCTCCATTAGCCTATATGCTATGCAGAGACTGTCTTCTTCATGTCGTGAATTGCAGCTGATGTTTTAATATGGCAATTGACAATTTGACTTATACAACATTCGCAAGTTGTACATTTGACTCATACAATAACCCACCTTCGAGTGATGCTCTAGTTTCTTCATGTTTTGTTTTTTGCGCCGGACTGAAACTGTCTTTTCACCGACATCTCTTTACCTGCACTAGTGGCCGTATCAAAGCCGTGATTGGTCAGATGTCGATACATTACAACGGTGTCGGGTTACAGACGTGCTCCCCTTGTCACCTCTCACTCTCACTCTCGCGGGGGATGTGCGGAGAACTGAGCGGAGAACTGCGCACAGCAGCTGAGGCCCTCTGGGCGGGGCCCCCTGCGCAAGGCGGGGCCCCATGCAGCCTGCGTGATTGGCCTGTAGGGAGGGGCGGCCCTGCCTACATGTATATAAACCGATATAAACCTGCGGCGGAAACCCCTCTTGTCTGTCAGTGAGTGTGATTATTTTATAAAAGTAACGAAGTAATGCGTGTCGGGGCAATGTTAGTAACTGTAGTGTGATTGCTGAATTATAAAGGTAACGCGTTACACAACTCCGTTACCGACGGAAGTAATATGATTACAGTAACGCGTTACTTTGTAACTTTGTAACGCGTTACTCCCAACTCTGACTGCAACCATACATGTGTGACAGATGACAAAAGATTCACAGAATGCATACATTTACATGGCAGAACCAAATGAGTGTCTGTTTACAAGTGTGCATGTGTTTATATTTGGGTCAACAATTATTTCATGTCCTTTACTGCTGATGCAAACTACATTATTTTATTTATTATGGGCTGTAGGTGAGCTGTGGGTATGTTGTGTATGTATATATGATGGGCAAGTATATTCATCTGCATCCATTATCGGAAGATTATATGTGGGTTCTTTATGGGGCTGTAATATTGTTGTTACACCTTACTGAACATTCCTTGTACATGTATGTTATTTGAGTAAATGCTGCATTGATGTTCAAATGTCCACATATTTTCTGTTCCAATAGTTACAATTAAAAAATGATTACAAAAAATATATTTAGGTCCACCAACCTGTTAGAGTAAGTACCTGGTGTGCAGGGCAGGGGGAGACTGGTGCCCTCAGGACAGTACTTCCCCTTTGGACAGGTTCCTCCCACTCCTGTGCTGAAGTTACCATCTGGGTTCTGAAAGTTCACACCTAAGTTGCAAATTTAACACAAGTTTAGTCATCCAATTCACTTAAGCAGCACAGTGGTATATTATAAAGGCCTTTAAATTAGGTAAAAGTGATAACTGTGCTATAATGATGCATGTATTGTACCTGCTATGCAGTAGTAACCAGCTTGACAGGGTCCAGTAGGTTCAAACAGACCCCAGTCCTCACAGTAAAACCCTGTAAGCAGAGCATGAAGAGTTAAAAAAAACACTGCTGCAATAATAGGACATCGACGTTCTCAAAGTCTTGATTGTTAATTTCATCACATCACAAAATAATATCCCTCCTCTAGTCATTTAAATGTGATAAAGCATTCTATTATTGCCTTTTATCTAAATCAATTAGTTCCAGCACATCTAGCATATTAAGGAGTTGATACATTAAAACCGGATTCAGCTCGCTAAACATTTAATGAAGGACTTCCAAGTGTCTTTCAGAGCGATCAAGACATCCATGACACAACACTCTCACCTGCTGGACAGATGAGGCACTGCTCCACTTGGCTGAGGCCAAACTGAGGGCTGTATGTGCCAGGAGGGCAGGGCAGGATGCCCTCAACACTGCCACCAAAACAATAGTGTCCTGCTGGACAGGGCTGGACGCCTTCCCCTGAGAGACAGTAAGTCCCTGAGAGGCAGTCATCACACTCTTCTGCACCTTCATCCAAAACAAGAAAGCAAGAACTTAATGATTTAAATGTGTTATACTTTATATTTTTCGTAGACTAACCGTTTCACAAAATGAATTTTCTCTACCTGTACTGTTGAAGTACGTCCCATCAGGACAGAGGAGAGGGGAAGTTGAGCCCATGGGACAGTAGTGTCCAATTGGGCAAATGTCCCCTGTCAAACTGTCTGAGGGCATTGAAGACACAGCCCCTCCTGAACAATAATACCCTATAAATCAGTAGATACAAAAAAAGTGTTAGGGACGCAAGTAATAATAAAAAAAGGACAGACATCTTCACCTACCCATTAATACTATAGTTTACAGTGGTCAGTAGATACTCACAAAAAGCATTTTAAATCTAAAAGCTAGCCATATCTCCTCTCCAGCTGTTTAGATAGTTATCAGATTATATTCATTTGGTAATAGCATTAGGATTAAGGATTTGACCCTATAAACAGAGAGCTGTTTCAGTTACTGGGTAATTCGGGACTTAACAACTGTTTAACCGTTTAAAAACAGAATACAATGTTTTCAATCAGATAATTAATGCCTGTGCCTTTATCACAAAGTCCTGAAGGCTTGCTGAGTCCTGTATTGTTGCAGTAGAGTCCTGAAGGGCAGGGCCAGCAGGAGGACATGTTTTGGGCACCCACAGTGTTGCCCCAGGTCCCTACAGGGCAGGGGTGCTGCTGCGAGTAAGAGGTCCCTCGTGGACAGATGTAGCCTGCAGAACAAACTCCTCCAGACAACAAAGCCACCTGCTGGAAAACGGAGTTATCATCAGGACAAAGTTTGGTCATTTTGGCTCTCAGCAATAGTTAGAACTTAAAAGTTAAATCTGTGGGAAGTTTGTCTTGGAAGCTGTCATTCATTTCCCAGACACTGTTAGCAACTTACCCAAAAAACACTGCTGTAAAACATTATTTATTTGCCCAATTCCAACATGCTTCTAAATTCCTAATTATATTAAAATGACAGAAAACACTTAAGCCCGAACGCTCAAAGTGAGTGGGAAATAAATAGCTGTCAGCATGCTAGCAACACAGTTTTAACTTGGAAGAAAAGAAAATTCAACGTAAAGACATATTTTCCTCTCTAATTACCCCATGTTTTTCATGAGAGTGCTCCCTCGCTCTGTCAAAGATCAACAAGGTAAAGTATATGAAAAGCTTTAGAGCATGGATTCTTGCTACATATGAATAATATCTATGAAAAAAACATTTTGGTAATATGACAGTAAAACATTGTAGTCATTTAAATTATTTTCATTATCTGTAGAAAGTAAATGTATGAATTATTTATCCCCCCAATGTATATGGCAAGAGGCACCTAATATCTAGAAGAGAGTGTCATGAGAATATCTATATAGTGTTATAAAGTCCTCAATAGAACATAGTATACTTTATGTATTTATTTGTTACTGAAACATCAGTTCTTTTTTGGATAACCTGCTTGAAGACAAGCTATCAAAGTCATTTTATGTAACATCTTACAGGAGAGGCAGTGGAGGCTCCAGAGGTGCAGTAGTGTCCCGGGTCACAGAGACCCTGAGGCTCAGAGAGTCCGGCTCGGCTGCAAAACCATCCGGCCTCGCATGGCCGACAGTGGTGCATAGCATCACCACCAGGCTGGTCAGAGTAAGAGCCCTGAATATAAGATAGTATCATTTAACAACATCTGAATTTGAATGAAGCTTTAGTGCAAAAGTACACTCATTAAAACTACTGACTGGAGGACAGGGTCGAGCAGCAGAATACCCCGGAGGACAGAAGTGTCCTTTGGGACACATTGGTGGGCGTGACAAGGCTGTCTGGTTACACAGTCTGCCTCCCTGACACTCCACACATGACTGTGCACCTCGACGCTGTGAAGGATTTATAGACAAGGGAATCACCTTGAATATGGCTTTATCTCATTATCTAAATTTGACTGTACACTTTCAGTAGAACAGCACTTGGTATTCGGTGTGGATTATTTCCTACCGGCTGATAAGTGCCAAGAGGACATGGCTGTTGCCTCGCTGCCCTCTCCAAGGTATAATACCCTTCCTCTGCTTCACTCTGAACAGGGGAAGCTGAGCCACCAGTACAGTAGAAACCAGGAAAACAAGGACCTGAAGGGGAGGTGTTGTTGGAACCTAAACAATAGAAACTGACAGGGAGAGAAAATAATTGACAAAAACAACACAGGATTACATTTTTACATGGTTCTCTTAAATAAATAAGCTGATCAATTAAAGTTTGAGGAGGTGCAGTAATTAAGTGTTAGTAGCATTACCCTGGCAGACAGCTGACACACTCCTCAGGTCTGCTGAGGCCAGTGCTGTTGCTGAAGGTGCCAGATGGACAGGGCAGTGGAGAGGACGAAGCCGGAGGACAGTAACTTCCTACTGGACACAAACCTCCTGTCGGCCCATCTGCAGGAGTCTGGAAATAGGGTATGTAAAGAAAAGCTAACATGAACTGTAGATAATTAATGTAATACCTAAAAAGTCCATTCAAAATAATACATATAACACATAATGTTTCCTAATCCAAATTTCATCACCTAACTGAGTGTTTTAATGTGACATGAGTCACAGACCTATAATTTATCAAAACAAGAATAAAACATTAAAGACTAGCAGATTCTATTCAATAAATGTTTGAAATATTTTCTTCATACTGCAGACTTGGCTCCTTCTCTACAGTAGAAGCGCTCTTTGCAGCTTCCCGAGGGCTCTGAGAGTCCCACACTGGCGCAATACTGTCCTCCAGCACAAGAGGAGCACTTAGACCCATTACTGAGAGCTGAACGCGAGCTGTAGGTTCCTTCAGGACAAGGTTCGGCAGCAGAAGTGCCCTCCGGACAGTAAAAGCCCTGTTATAGAGTGACAGAAAGAGAGAAAGAGTTGGTTTCACATGCACAGTGCCAAGAATTATAAGGACAAGGTCTGTTTCTGAATGCTGCAAAGCAGTTTTACAAAATGCTGGATTTACCTGAGGGCAGACTGCAGGCATGTGAGTTCCCGGTCTGTCGCAATAATGCCTGGATGGACATAAAACACATGCCTCTCCACTGTGACCAAGAGTGTTGTTCCTATATTGTCCAGCCTGACAGGGGTAAGTGAGGGGGTAACCAGTCCCTCTGGGGCAATAGTGCCCATCAGGACAAATGCCTGTCTGAAAAATACAGCAAAAAAATATTTGATTAATTTCCTTTGGTGTACAATCTTCACTTAAAACAAAGTTTGACTTTATGCAATGAACATTTATATACTGTATAACATGGTCATGTATGATCTCTATCAAAATGAATTAAGCCGAAGAAAATAATGTAAAAGGATATGTGTTCTGTACTGTATTATTGGTATCTTACAGGCCGGGTTATAGGCTGCTCCTGAGGCTCCTGGGAATAACAGTATTCCCCCTCCGGACACTGAGCACATTCGCTAGCATCCCGCAGACCAGGAGACTCACCATAGGTACCATTGGTGCAGGGAATGGGGTTGGGATCCTGTGAGGGATTTGCAGGTATAGCGATTAAGACATTGTAAAAGAGGGCCATATTACAACAAAAAAAAAGTGATTTCTCTGTATGCATCGTTCTTTGACTCACAATGCCTCCTCCTGGGCAGAAGAAGCCTCGAGGACAAAGTGTGGCTGAGCGCTGGGGGTCTCGGGCTAAACCCTGAGAGCAGAGAAAGCCTGGGGGGCACACCATGACGCTTAACATGGCTTCTTCACTAGTCGTCTCATCACTGCAGTAGTGGCCCTGCAGGCATGGAGAACACTCCACAGAGCCCTCATCCTACACACAAAAGAACGTGAAGGACGATTCAGAGAGTTGAAGTTAAAGATATCAACCAGTATGGGGGAGGGACAGCACAAAATAAAGACTGAAAACACAAGGGAAGGAGGATAGAACTTGCAATACGATGGAATAACACACTTATACTTCTTCAAAAATGAAAGCAAAAGATTAACTATAACAAATGTAACTTTGACTACTCCTCTTGCTGACATTTACGGATGTACATACATGGTGAGTAATGTAAGCTGATCTCTGTGGGCGGAAAATGCTAATCTAAAAATAGGACAATCAGACTGGCTGATGGAAGGACGATACTAATACAGCAGCTCTGGTTTCCACTGGTTCTGACAGTTGGCCAGTCAAAGTGAACTGCATTATGGATCATGGGGCCTTACAGAGTAGCTTCCAGCTCCACACACTCTGGGGTTGACGGTGGCTGAGTGGGGACAAAAATAGCCAGCAGGGCAAGCAGAGCAGTCGTCCTGCCTCCGACCCCCTTTCAGATGGCGAAATGTGGATCTGGTAAACATCAGGACAACGTATATAAATTAATCTCACTCATTACATCAGATTTATCCTTGAGTTGATATTCTGATTTGTTTTATCATCATGCTCACATCTGATAGAATACACAATGACTGCTTACATGGGGCAGGGTGAAGGTTTGGAGGTGCCCTTTTGACAGAATGAGCCTTCAGGACATATCAGGCAATCTTCTCTGTATCTGTTTCCAATGTGGATGCTGTAGGTCCCCGCAGGGCAAGGAAACTGGGTGCCATATGCAGTCCCTAGTGATGCATCATCGAAATACTTATATCAGCATGAATGACTCATAACAGCTCAAATTTTCATATAATAAGCTGTAGTCTTACTTTTATTAGATAACTTTTTGAACTTCAGCAGTAAACACATGTATTAATGAATATATATACCACCTATACTATCATTTATGCCACAACCAGGTGTACCTTCAGGACAGTAGTGTCCAGAGCTGCATCGCCCTGACGGAGCTGCAGATCCAGCCAAACAGTACCAGCCCTGTGGGCATGGCCGGCACTCACTTTCAGCTTCCAGTCCACTCTGACCGCTCCATGTCCCCACAGGACACTTGTGCTGGGTGGGGAACATCGTTCCAGGTGGACAATAATGCCCTGAAAAGCAGAAGAGTGGTGGTCTCTGGATACCACCAGTTCCTGATAAAGTGTAAAACAATGAGGCATTTAGATGGAAACACTTGCAAACACAAAACAAACCACACTTACACAATCAAATATAGCTATGTATAATGGACACATTGGGCTATATCTACATATTGACCCATTTCAAAAATTAAAGTATAGTAAAGAGGCGACTTAAACATATCTTCTGATACTACAAATACAAAAATATTAAACACTACTTCTAAAAACAAACTCAACATGTAAATGTGTGAAAAATAAACGGCACCTCTAAGACAGGCATATCGAGCTAGGCACTGCTGACACTGTGAGCGGTCAGTGAGGTCAGTGCGATCGCTCAGTGTCCCAGGTGGGCAGGCATTGGTTGGTGCGTTGGGTTGAGAAGACCCAGGGGGACACACAAACCTTTAAACATTCAGGCAAAGTCAGCTTAAAAATAGGGTAACAAATGCAGGATAATATAACAGGCAATATAACAGAAAACAATATATTATAAGTAGGGCCGGGACTTTAACGCGTTAATTAAGATTAATTAATTACACAAAAATTAACGCGTTAAAAAAATTAACGCATTTTAATCGCACTTATTTTTGCACCGCGGAACGTTTCTCACTGGATGAGTTTCAGGCGTACCGATTATACTGGAGCACCAACTAAAGTTCATGACTTCAGACAACAACAAACCACAGTGAACAACAGTGGGAAATGTTGTTTTAAAAAACGGACGGATGGAAGCGTCGATAAGAGCACGGTTGTGTGCAAATTATGCAAAAAGGAATTCGCATATCACCGCAGCACATCAAGCCTCAAGTATCACCTCAATGCAAAACATATAGCAGCTAGCGTGGAAGCTAGCGTGGACGTTAGCCTCTTTTATCGCGTTCACACCAAAAAGAGCCGGTACTAAAATTAGTTCATGAGAACCTTTTTACCCCCACGAAAGTCCCTGCTAGAGAGCAGAGAGCTGCTAGAGAGCAGGGACTTCGTACGGCTCTCTTGTGAGAAAAAAGCTATATTTCTGATTGGCTGGGTGGATTGCAAACCACGCCCCGTAAAACTCCCAAAAAGTTTTGTGAAGCCGCCATTTTATTATCCTCGCATTAGCATTATTAGCATTAGCCCAGCGCAGAAACGCAGAGAGATTAACTTCTGGCAACACAAAATAAAACATGGGAGCGGTGATGAGGAGGTGTCGGCGTTCTGGCGATTTACTCGGAAGGCTGCTGGGACTCCCAGCAGCTTCTACTGAAGCCAGTCCCTAACTCCGGGGACTTCCGGCCGGGGACTTTGGGCGGTAGTATACGCCATGAAGTGGTTTGCGGCCTGCCAGTAAAACCAAAGAAGAAGAAGTGACGTCAGCGGCTTCATTTGCCTAATCCCCAGGTTCAAAGAGTTCTCATGAACTAAATTCTCATGAACCTTTGTGGGAAAAGTACTGCGGTGTGATACCTAATGGTATACTAAAATCCATGTGAAAAAAATTGCTTCTCACTGTTCTTAGGTCAAATATTTATATGTGATTAAAAATGCGATTAATTTCGATTAATTAATTACAAAGCCTCTAATTAATTAGATTAATTTTTTTAATCGAGGCCCGGCCCTAATTATAAGACAATGTTTTACTCCTAATAGACATGCTGTATCAAAATGTTATCTTATCAGTGAAGAATAAAATGGTTCAGAAATAAAACCTTTACTTGAAAATGAAGAGGTGACTTACCCTTGCATGCAGTCCACATCTGGGGCTTTCAGGGCTACCTGTGTGCAGGCCTTCCCTGCGTAGCACTCCCTGCAATCATCCAACTCATCCTGACCCTCTAAGGGGTTAAAGGAGCCTGGTGGACAGGGTACAGGGTCGCTTCTCCCCTCAGGACAGTAAAAACCCGCCGGGCATTTGAGACAGTCCTTCACACCTGGAGGCAATAGTTACAAGATGCCTACTTTATTAGGATGCCAGTAAGATTCTTTTGAATGTATTATTTGTACTGATCAATTCCTTTCATATCCTCCATTCGTTTTCCGTACTGGTCTCACAGCTCCAGCTGGTCAGACAGTTGTTTTTTAATTTGGTATGCTATATAAGACGCTTTCTCTTTGCACCCTTGGCATCCATCTGTTGAAATTTCTCATCCATATATCCCTGTTCATCATGGGGACTAAACAACACTTATATCGTTATGTAATCACTGAGTTTGCTATGATAGATATAGCAGCATATTAGTTTAAGCTGAGCTGCTGATAGACTGTAGGGCAGTTCCCATAAAATAATTCACTTATATAAATAAATTGCAAGCCAGGGCCTTAAGCCAAAAATAAATAACCAATTGCTGTGAATATGAAAATGTACTTACAAGATTATTAAAGAGATAAAGTATAATACAAAATAAAACAGTAATAATACATTATATAAATGTACTTATGGCTCCTTGATGAGGTGTGAAGGTGCCTCGAGGACAAATCACTTCTTCCAAGGTGCCAGCAGGACAGTATCTCCCCCGAGCACAGGGCAAGCCAGGACCTGACGAGCCTGCGACACACACACACACGCACGCACACAGAGACAGTTTTTTTTTTGTATGACTTCATTGTTTGTTGCCCGCTTGAAATCTAACAGGGCTAAGACTTACCTGCAGGACAGAAGCGTCCTTCTCTACATCTCTTGCAGGCTGCCCTACTTGTCTGACCCATTTGTTCTCCCGCTGTACCAGCAGGGCAAGGTGACCCATTAGGGGTGAGGGTGCCCTCCTCACAGTAATATCCCTGTGTGCACAGGAACTGGGAGGTGGGTCTCCATGAACTGCCTTCCAGACAGTAAAACCCTAGAGATAAGTATTCATAGACACGTTCATGAGAATGTTTTGTTTTAACTGGATCGTTATCTTATCATATACCAATAAAATACATACCAATACTAATATTTTTGCTCGTAATATAGTCTTTGCACATGAAACATAAAAGTATAATCATTTACAAGGTTTGCCACCATTAATCAAAACTCTACCTGCAGGACAGATTGTGCAGTCTCTCAGCCTCTGCAGACCTTCATTAGGGCCATAAGTCCCAGCAGGACAGGGTACAGCAACACCTCCCACACAATAATGTCCTTGAATGAAACACATGTACGTATACATATAGGGCATCTTCCAGAAGGAGGTGAAATGCAAATATCAGTGTGCAGTGACAACCACTAACCTACTGGACAGATCACACATGCTAACTCTTCCCTCAGATCTTTGTATGTTCCTGATCGACAGCTGATCGTTTGACTGGACCTTTGGACTGGCTGGTTCCAGCGGGGGGCCACAGCTCCCCCACACAGCAAAGACGTATCATTACAGCTACGGCATTCAGTCTGCCCGTGTGTGGAAGACCAAGTAGGAGGACAGGGGAGCGGCTGTGTCATCCCACTATCTGGACAGTAACTTCCTATGCCGGGTAGAGGTCAGAAGATAAGATTGTTCATCTTAAATAAAACACTTTATTGAAATTAGATAATGTTAATGTGTTACTGTACTACCTGCTGGACACTGAATGCACTGGATAGTGCATATAGTGGAATAAAGGCCCGGGGGACAGTCATTACATACAGTGTGATCTACATTCGGCTCCATGCCAGGCCAACACTATGGGCACATATAGGAAGTGAATAGGAAGGAAGGAGAAAAACAGACGACTTAGATCAATTCAAATTTCTAGGCAAACGATCAACTATTTATCATGAAAACTAAAACGTACACACATTTTAGGACGAGAATTTGTTATTGAGATGGTCTGCTTTATTAGTTACCCTAATTGGAAATCCAGAGGTGCAGACTGAATCTACAGGGCACGTCAGACACTGTAGGACCCCTTCAGGAGAATGTTGTCCCGGGGGGCATAAAGAGAGTGTCCCATTGACTGGATCACATGAGAAACCTGCAGGACACAGCCTACAGTCCACTCGGTCCTCTGAACTGATCAGACCTGGAAAACACGGCTGCAAACATACAGAAATGATTCAAGTAAGTACAATGAGGACAATTCTCCCTGGCAGACAGCATCAAAGCCAATAGTCAAGGTATTTAAGGTATAAACGTACAAAAAGAAGGGAAAGATGTGTAGCTTAATTAGAATAAACATTTTTCAGACATTGTGACCAGTTGCAGTTCATCATCAATATATTAGTTTCACCTGCTTTTTCAAAATGACTTTGGGGAAAAAGGTCTATGAATCTGCATCATTGTTATAAAGACTATAAAATGAAATGTGCCATACCAATGGCTTTCAAAAGAGGGCATGGCAGAAAGAAAGCTTGTTGTATGATGATGATGATGATGATGATGATGATGGGTTTGTTTTCCAAAGCTGTCTCTCACCTTACAGTCACTGATACGGCTTTTCCCTATGTAGAGGTTGAACGTTCCTGCTGGACATCTTTGAGGTGCAGATACATTGCCAGGACAACTATATAAAAAAAATGTTGAATTGATATATATTTATTATAATCAAAAAGTAGTATTAGTATTGATTTGATGAACACATTTATTTATTTTTTATCTTATTTCAAATTCTTACATGTGACTCATCAAAAGGAGCAGAAATAATGTGTCTTTATATTGAGCTATTGTCGATTATTTATGTATTATTTTCATAGTTTACACATTAAGATTATACCATTAATATCAAAGATGGTTGATGACTTACAAATGCCCAGAGGGACACTCCAAACAGAGGTCGTTGGAGAAGTATTTTCCCTCTGGACACCTATCCATGTCTGTCGCTTCACCGAGGGGGAGGTCTGCACTCCCTTCAGATGATTCTTGAATACATAAATTAATGTCAGCAAGGATGTTAAAGTTTGTCTTTGTCCATATGTTTGACTATCTACAAAAAAAAAGTACTTTAAACAGTCATTGCTCTTACCTGAGGCGAGTCCAGATTGTGTCTGTTCCAGAAAAACAAATGAAACTGAAAAACAAAACATTACTTTCCATGAATACATCATCATGGTATCTCTAATCAAGTCCACACTGCTTCATTTTTGTATTTTCATTCAAGGCTGTTTGGTCTGAGCTTTCATGACTGACTGTTTAAAGGCATGAAAGTGAGAGTCCCTCAGTCACTGAAAGTGAAACAAGAGCACGAAATGTGAGTCCCATGTGATTGCCCTAGCTGATAATGGTGTGCAATGATGTTCAGTAACTGTATCTTTCCATTTCATAATGCATGAGTATGTACAAACGCTAACCTAGATATGTTTCTGTTTGGGGAACACTTAAATTATGGATGTTACTTCAGTAATTCATTTAAAGGTTTTAATGAGAAGAAAATATGAAACAGACATGACAAATCTGATGGATCTACACGCAACAATGAAAGCTTTATCCAAGAAGACCCCCTTTTGCTTCGATGTGTGAGAGTTGGAAAATAAATTATTCAATGAAATGAGTGCCAGGCACATCCTTTGTTTGAGCACAGAGTGAGCTGCAATGGTGCATCTACAGATTACCACAAACAATATCTGTGCGTTTTTTCAAACCAGGTGCAAATATTATGCTTTGTACTATGAATACAAAAGATAAATGTTGTTATTTAAAATGCTAGTGGTTCAAATGTATGTATTAATATGTTTGAGAACAATATTTAGTTTTCTTTGCAGGAAGTCAGGTGCAATAGATGGACAAATATAGATTATTTTTACACAGCTCTGAATTCTGTTGTTTACCACTTCCTGTTTCCTTAAGCAAGGGTTAGAAAACATGTGCGGTTATTTCAGCAGTTTCTACAGATGCTTGCATAACCAAACTACGGGCACACAAGATATTTGATTGTATGTTTTGAGGCAGCAGGAATCAGAACAACAATGACGATCTCAATCCACTTCGCTTTGCTCGTTTTTTTGGTGACACAAGGTATTTATAGGCCTACTTTTTGTCATTGGACTACACTTTCATGTGTGTTAAATGCAACACAAAAATTATAGATTGTTAGTATGGTATTAATATAATGTTAATATGTTGTTTGTGTTGTGTGTAACAGTGATCAAATGTTCTTTTTCTGCAGATTTTACAAGCTGTATTAATCTGACGTCAATTTTGGAATATGTGGATGTAGCGTTGGGAGACCCTCTAACATTAAACTGCACATACAATTGCTCCATTGGATTTGTTCGTGGCTGTTGGAGTAAAGCAAACAAATCAACATCCGGTGCCTTTGTCGACTGTCTTGGAAATACCAGCAAAAGCAGTTTGTGCACAACGTCCCTTCATCTGTCAATTTTGTCTACTAAAGATCACAATAAGAAGTACATTTGCTACACACAGCATGCAGATGACCCTCAAGTTCCACAAAACATAGCGGGCATCGTTGTTCTGCAAATTAAAGGTTATTTATGAAAATCAACATAAGATATATCTTGTTGTTGAATTTTTTTTTGTTTAAAACAACTATTTACAACAAGAAAAAAAACTGGGTTTTTTAAGACTTTTTCTTTTTCAGCTAAAACAAGTGTCCAAATCGGGATAGTTACTCCAAAGACTGCAACTAGAAATGGTGAGGATTTTCTTTTAATTAAAATGTATTCTTAAATATTTTTACAATATTATTATACCTTTCATTAATTTATGTATATCATTTTTTTACATTTCTTAGCCTCTAATCCTGCTGAGCAAAATGATTCAAGTGGAGGTAAGAAGGCACTTTAGATGGATATAAATTCTGTATTTTATGTAAATAAGTACATCTGCGTGTGAAACTTAAAAGCAACATTCACTCATTCCAAGATAATTCAATTATTTTTCAAGGTTTGCTGGGGGAATTTGCTGGAATTAAGGTGTTAGCTATAGTAACCGTTGCTGTGGCCACGGTGCTTGCAGCTTTGGCCATTTTCCTGTGTCTGAACCGGAACAGACAGTGCTGGACTGATAAAGGTGATTGAAAATGATTAAACTATCAACATACATGATTTTTAAAAAGTTAAAATGTCCAAATAATTATCTATGTCTTTATCATCGTTTTCATAATGTCACACATTCCAGGGGAGCCTGTTGGGTCCAGGTCAGGGTGAGTAACATTTTAGAATGACTATTTGGATTGTGTTTCAATAAATAAAATAAATATATAAGAAAATATCTTTATATGATATTGCTCAATTCTTCAAGTTAATTTAGTATTTGTTTCTGTTAAAGCTCACCACTTCCTCTTCACGCTGTCTCTTCGCCAGTGAAGGGTAACCTTTTATATCTATTAAATACAAAGATTTGAATGTCTCAATGCAGTCCTGCCATTCATACCTGTCACATTTCACAGGGACAGTGTCAACAAAAAGTGAAAGAGTGACTTTAAGGATTCCCACACCAGGTAAGACGATTTCTGGATCATTATTAGCACCACTCATGTGACAACATTAATGTCTGCATTACAAATACTGACTGATATATTTCATTATTTATTTGGCCAAGATAATGAGAGCGACACCGAGGTCCCATATGCTGACATAACGATCGCTGTCCGAGGTGTCAGTACACCAGAGCTCACTCAGGTTGGCTACTTGACCCCTGGCGATCAACAAGAGGTGAGGAATGAGACTTCATGATGCTTGTCATTTTTTATCTTACTGAAAAGTTCATTTTTAAGACAACTTGTTCTCCTCTGTTTTATTAGCAAGTCCAACTCTGCACCGGTAAATCTTGTACATGAATCTAAAGCCTAATAATTAGGGATGCACGATATTGGGTTTTTGAAACCGATACCGATACCGATAACTTCCTGCTTCTCAAGACCGATACCGATACCGATAACCGATAATAATATAATATATATTAAATGTACCTGTAGTTTTTGCACACCTGGTGGTAAAAAAAAAAGACTAGTAGTGAGCAAATGACATGAGCATTACTACTATGAACAAAACAAAACCAAGAACAGTTTTGACTCTTCAAAGTGACCATATTGATTTTCCCAAATAAAGTGTTCTTGCCTTTTTCAAAAGCCTCGTCGATAGGTAAAAGCCCCGATGCCTTTGCAGCTGGCTTTGGATTCGCCGCTGGTTTAGCAGCGCAGGCGTCTTCATACGCTTTTAACACACCATCGTAGCGATGGCGATGTTTCAGGTGACTAATCAGGTTGGAAGTATTATAGCTCGTTGCCTTTTTCCCTCCTCGTGGAACTTCTGCATTGCATTTGTTAATACAAATAGCAAGCGAACTATCTAACTCTGAAATAGTTAGGGAGCGCTGAATTTGTGAAAAACTCCCCTCTTCCTAAACCACTAATACCACAGTACTGGCAAAACGGGAGGAGCCGAGTGAAAAACAAGCGCCCCTCATCCAAATCCACCCACACCGCAGTATTTTTTTCTTTTTTTTTTACCCAAAAATATATTGTATATTATCGGGGCTATTAATACTGGTATCGGGTTTATCGGGATGACGTTATAATTCATAATATCGGACCGATAATTATCGTGCACCACTACTAATAATGCTTATCTGATGGTTCTCTTTTATAGTTTAATGCTGTTACAATGAATAAATGTTGTACATCACCTTAAATGTATGAGCAGTTACTGGCTATGCTTTATAGACAGAAAATGATAAGGGAAAATAAGGATTTACTGTGCGTAGTAGGCATCAATCACATTGGGTTGCCAAAAAAACAAAGACATGTAGAGTCTGCTCATTTATCTCACTTCATCTACTCTGATCCCAATTTAAAACGTCTTAAGTGTATATTGATTGTTTAAATACTGAATGGTATTAATAAAGCTACAGTCTGTTCCTGTGTATTAGGTATTTATGTCAACTTGCATTGACTGAATATCAGTAACAACTCTCAGTATAACCCAATGAAAGGACCATAAACTAATAAACACCTCTCCAAAAACTGATTACAACGTGCATAAAAAAGGTGTAATTTATTACAACGGTGTTTAGTATTATTTTAGTTATCTAGGTGTTACTATAAACAGGCCACTGAATGTTTGTATTATTAAAATTGTACCAAGCTAGTTACCTTTAATTATATTATTGATGTTCATGTGTGCAGATTGCAATAACACATTGTTTGCAGTAAAGCAAGTGGGTTTGCATTGACTAAATGTGTAACTTTCACTTGTGCATACACCACATAACACAACCAGTTGTATCGATCTGTATCAATTATATTGTTAGAGCCTACTTGGGATGGTTTGCTATTCCCAACAACATGCTAAATCAATCTCTCTGCTCTATCTACAGTGGTGGGGAGATGAACCAAGGTCTCACCTGCAGGCCTCGCGTTCAGCCGACAGACTGCATGTCCCTCAGCCAAGGGAGGTCAGCCGCAAGATGAGCACCAACTCTGAATATGCAGTCATCACATATGCCTGACTGGGGTCGCTTCTCCAAAAAGAAGAGGGAGAAGAAAAACACACGTCTTCTTTTTGATATTTTTATACGCTTCATATGCAATGCTTCTCAATTTGTTCTTATTATATCGTTTTTTTCCACGTGTTAAATATCTGTAAAAAATGCTTTATGTCCAATAAAGCTTTTCAATCAAATCAACTGTATTAAACATGAGTTTAACGAAAACAACATGTGCGTGCGTGGTCTATTTTGTTGGCCATTTGAGCCTCGTCAGTGTCCGTAGGAACAACAGTTGCCTAGAAACAACTATAAACAAAACACACCAGTAGCTAACTGTTTATAGACAAAACATTGATATAGTAAAGGTGGATACGTAGTGCATGTCGTTTCAGTTAACAGGTGAACCTTTGACTAACGCTTTGACATTTTGCAACTCAGGTGGTGTGAGTGACGATATGGTGACGAATATCTAGCACTATTTAGCTTACTTTGAACGTTAGCTTGTAATGTGGGGAAAGTTGCCAGTGTTAGCTAGCTTCTCTTGTCTTCTACGCTGAGCACCAGGAAGGAAGACGAATTACTGACAACAACTTTAACTTCTCTTGTAGGTCTTCCCAAGTTGATATAGGAGTTATCTTCCCCTCTGAATGCTAAAACATGTCAGTACCTTTCTCCAACACGCACCTGCGGGTCCCGCGAGGATTCAGCACCATCTTGGAGGGGCTGGCCAGAGAAGTCCTGCGAGATCAGCCCGAAGACATCCCTAAATATGCTGCACAGTACTTCGATACTCTACTCACACAAAGAGAAGGTAACTGCAACTTTACAATTGGTACTACTGTAATCCACAAAATATACATCATAGTTTAGCTGTGTAATTTTGTGTTTGTTATTTTAAAGGCCAAATATAGAAGCAAACATTAGATTCCAGATGTAAAGACTTTAACGCCATATACACAGCTACAGTGTAGAATAGAATAAACGTGGGTAACAGGTTACTAAAAAATTAAACAATACATAAAACAAATGAAGAAAACAATACAATTAGTGCAAGTTCACATAGGCAGTGACTATAAATGTTGAGATAAAGTGCATTGGATAATTGATATGCAATTTTCAATGTATATTATATTTCTTTCCTATCAAATGAACATCACATTAATGAATGAATATAAAAGGAATAATTGATCATGTGTTTGCTTGTAGATAGTGGCATCGACCCAGCTGAGTGGGCTGCTAAACTGGAAGATAGATTCTACAACAACCATGCATTCAAGGCTACTGGGGTACTAACTCAAAGTCACTGCCATACCATCCCTATAAAATATTTCCTCTGTTGTCTCATTTTATTCATCATGACACCTTTATTTTGTTTTTCGTTTTCCCAACAGCCTAGTCCTGAAAAAGAGCCTTCAGCAAAGATGACCATTTCCAAGTGAGTGTCTGCTTATACGCTCTAACTGGCAGGCGGATCAACAGGAGAGGGAGAGGATGCACATGAGGGAAAGAATAGAAAGTGACAGCGGAGAAACAAATAATATATTTTTCATTTTTAATCGTTACATCTTGAGTTTTTGTGTGAGTTTTTTTCTGAATATGGTTGCTAGTTTGTTGTCCTTATTAGAAAATTAGGAATTAAAATTAAATCAAATCAATACTGCAAAAAGGGAAATTGTGGAAAGGAAAGGAAAACGCAAACCAACAACCTGCTTTGTCCAACCTAATGAATGTTTTTAAATGTTTGAAATCATAATCCTACATTTGGATTTGTTTATGAAAATAGATTAGTTTATGATAATTCCTTGAGAATTAATTGAACCAGCACGAAATGTCAGCTCAAGTTCTTCCAGGTTTAAAGTGTCGAGGGTGAGAAGAAAGGTCAGGACTGAAAGATAAGCGGCCACCAGCTGCAGGAAGACAGTCAATCAGGCATTTTGATTTTTGTTTTGAGGAAGGATTACCTAGGCTACATCACTATTTTCCAGTTTTTCCAATATTTCACCTTCAGTCTTTCATTTTGATTGATACTTTTTAGAGAAAAATCCTATGAATCCCAAACTGAAGATGAATCAAGCCATACAGAAGGAGTCTCTAATGTTTCCACAACACATCCTACTGTCTCTGAAGAGGTTGATTCAAGTGAAAGTACGGAAGAATATGAAGAAAAACTGGATATTACAGAGAAAAATGTTATTTCAATGGCAGAAGGACTCTCAGAGGAGCAATCAGTAAACGTGCTCCCAGCTACAGACCTACAGCCGGATGATCTGAGTGGGACCGAGGAGGAGAAAGACCAAACAATAACTACATTCGATCAAGTTGGCAGGGCAGCTAATGGAAAAGATAGCATCTCTGTTCAAGACCAAGATAATACTCAGTCTGAGTTAGAGCCCACCGACTTGTTGTCATTGAAAGCAATTTCAAATGTGTGTTCCCAGGAGTTAGAACCGGAAAAAGAACGTGGAGATAATGAACAAAATAATTCTGTTGTAGATATGGAGATTATAGATCCGGAAGGAGATCTTAATTCTGACGCAGAAGAACCAGTGGGAGTATTTTCATATTCTGGGCTAGCTGATGTGGATGTGTGTGCTACAGAGCTTGGAGGAACAGAGAGAACAATGGAAGGAGCCACTGCTGAAAATGATGAGGAAAGCTCAAGACCCCAACCTGAGGAGAATACAGTACAATCATTATTGTCTCACTCTGAAACCCTAGAATACAATCAGCAAGAAGAAGACCAAGTTGAAAAAACAGAAGAGGTAGCTTCATCATCTGAGTCTTCGTCTGGTGTTATACATGAAAGTTTAACTCACATAGAGGGAGTTTCTGTCAGTAATGCTATAACAAATGAGGATTCTTTGGTTGAGGTCAACTTTGAAGATGTTCCAGAGGGTCAGCAGATTAAAGAGGTTGAGGAGAAACAGCCAGGAGACAGCTCAGTAGATGTCTTACAGACTACGTTTTTAGAAATGCAACTGGAGGAAGAGTGCAAAGAGGTAACTGCAGTGGAAACAGAGCAAAATATATCTCAAACACAAGACCACAGTGAACCTGCAATGATGGGAGTTGTAGAGGAAATAAAGTGTGAAGGGGAGGAAATGGAAAGACAGCACAGGGAATCTGATATAATGAGCAAGAAGGTAGACACAAATGATTCTGATTTAAATAATAGTGGTGTTGATGGTAAGCACGAAGGTGTTAAAACTATCAGCTCATCACATCAGCCCACCATCGATGAAGAGAACTCAGAGAATGAAATGGATCATGAAAATGAAGATATTAATGAGAAAGCAGGAGGGATAAGTGAAGGTGAATTTCACCAGAATGAGGGTTGTGAAAAAGATGAAAATTCAAACGACGCTGAGGACGAGACAACAGACACGGGTGGAGGCAAAAAAGAGGACGGACTTGCAGAAGGTTATGGAGACGGGGAGATTCAAGAAACAAATGCTGGTGGAGCGGGAAATCACTCATCACAAGCTACACGGGAAAATATATCAACTGCTGGAATAGAGGCCGAGAGGGAAACTTTAGAGGCAAGTACACATCTACCAGAGGAGAAGGAGGAGAGTCGGAGAACACCTGTAGACTCACAGCTACAGGATACTGTGGGGGAAACAGAGGTCACATCAACGGAGAAAGGTCCAGATGTAATGGGACTTTTAGAAGAAGAAGAAGTTGATTCTGAAATACAAGGGAAGAGGGACACATTGTGTGAAGAGGGCATCAGCAGCCCCACTCCAAGTGCTGATCTGCCAGCTGCAGAAGACGAAGTGCCACCTGCTTCTGAAAAGGACTCCACAGAGCCTGAAGGCAAGAGCAGTGAAAAGGTAAAGCTTCTTCTTAATACAGAATATATACATGAGTGATGCATCATATCTTTATGTGCTTTAACATTATAGATGAACATGTTTTGCAATGAGAAAATGGCCCTGATGTTTAGGCCCATAACTCGTATGATTTGAATTTTGAAACAGGCATCTGCAACTCATCACATCTCCTCCAATTATATCAGCAGGATGAGGATAGATGTTCGCACAGTTTCAGATTGAGGTGTCTTTAGTCTGCTCTGCTCCCATTCCTGTTTCAGGTAGCCTATATATAAATAAACCCTTCAAGGACGGGTCTGATCTACAGTGGCCCTCGTTTTTTCCCCCTTGGACTCTCCAGGGTTGGGTGATTGAACATATCCCCAAAATAGTTCATTTTCTAGATGGTGGTTTAAACTTTAAATTGAATCTCAAGGGTCACAATGAAAATCATGTTAATTGAATTATGCAGAAAGGGTAGCTTTGGTTTTCGGCCAAACATCGGTGTCTTTGTTTATTTGAGTGTGTTTTACAGAAGCTGTTCTGGGCCATTGCTTTGCTGCATGCTCATAAAACTGTAATGTGGCGTTGTTAGTGCCAGATCCACTCTACTCTCAGAGCTACCACAGCTCCCACAGATTGAATCTTGATTCAGTGATCCGTCATCATTAAAGAGCGACTGGACAATTTCCTTTGTGAATTAAGGCCCTTTAATATGTTTTACTGCTGTCACAGTTCTTGGCCCTGTCTGATTTGTCTGGACCAACGAGGCTCCAAATGCACAGCGAGGGGAGTATAGGAAGGTCTACTAAGAGTGTTACCATGGTAACCCCTCACCATCCTGCACTCTGTTAGTGTCGTCATGGATTTAATAGGAGATGGTGATGCTGATAGTTGCTAGGCACCATCTGTATCAGTAATCTACCTTTAATAGCCGCCTTTGATTAAACAGTAAAAACAGCAGTTTCTGTTTTTCTACATACAGAACAATGCTATTCTGTATGATCCTGTTTAGTGGCAGAAGTATTTCCAGTTTCACCTACCACAAACATGTACATTATATACAGTGATATCATCTCAGTTGAATATATAGTCCTTTTACTTCAATGTATATGCATTTAAGTCACTGTTTACAAGTCCCAACATCCTATACTTTTATCATTTTAGGAGAATAAATACTGTGGTGTTTCTTTTAATACGAGTAGATTAACGATGATTTATTGCAGTGAACATAATTACACATTGGTGGTTGTTCCTTTAAATTAACAGTGAATTGATGAATAAACAAGACAGCTTTGTGAAATGAGGCGTGAGGAGAACATATTGTTTGAATGGTTACAAAACCAGCAGGAGAGCATTAATGAGATATAACTCAGATAAATGGATGTTTTCTGTTCCTCTCCCTCTCCGTCTTGTCTCTGAGGCTGACAGAGGAGCGTGGGCGGCCGTACCAGCTGGGATCAGAGGGATGGAGAGGGTTGTTAGCTCACTCTGCCTCTAATAAATGTATAACACCTCTTAGTGCAAAACAGTCCAAGATACTTACACGGTTTTATTTTCACGATATTAGTCAAATTTGAAAGTCAGCGATTATTGTTTAATGACCATCTGGCTTTTACATAGTATTTCTAAGTTGGTCATCTGTTTTTATTTGTGGAGTTTAATGTTGTAACACTGCAACGTGTGAATTTGCATGACGCTCAGTTTATGTGGTAGTTATTTTGTCGTATCCAGGCTGTAATAGCTCTTCACTTTTACTTTTTTCCAAATTGTTTAACTTTAAATCGCTTAAGTAGTCCGCATATTTAGCCTGTATCATTTACTGTTCTTTCTAAGTATTTAGGCTGTGCTCAGTAATGTGAACACAGTAGGTCAGCAGCCTTAATGGGACTTAAGGATGGAACACATGCTGTCATGTTTGTAGGAGGTCTTTCTTTTCCCTCCCTCCCGTCCTCCCTCTTTCTCTCTTCCCTCTCTCTGACTGTATGTCCCTCTCTCACTCTGTGCATGAGCTGGTGTTACTGAACATACAGTGATTGTTACTAAGAGCCAGTGAGGCATCTGTTTTATAAACCGGAGACTCGTTTAAAAAGAGCTTTGCTTGGTCCACATAGAAAAATCAAGGCATATAAGTCATATTAGGTCAGCTCACCTGAAGACTGAAGTCGTCTCTGAGAGTCAAACATGGACTGTCACAATGTAAGTAGAAGCTCCACATTAACTTTTTAATAGAATTTTTTTTTTTTCATTTGTAAAATCTCATCGGTTTGGTTATTTGTGTAATACAGTTGGTTACAGATGGTACTTACAGGTATTTGGCTGTCCTTAAACTGCATACTGCCATGTGTGTTTTTTCTTTCTTCAATTAGAGTTAAAGACAGTATATGATCAATTAAAAGCAGTATATTATGTTAACCATTTCACACACAGGATATATTTTTTTAAGAAAATTGACCACATAATATATTGTACACAGCTTTAAACCTTTTTTTTATGTGGAAAATATAACATGAGATTTGGTGTCAGGATATTTCAAATCAATTTGTGTCAGATCTAAGGAGGTGTTTATCTAGCGAATTGCGGTGCACCAGCACTGCAAAAAAAACAACAACAACTGTATTCTGGCAGCTCAGTGAGCAGTCAGACAGAGAGGCTAATGAATGCTGGCTGAACAGGTGGGTGGTCACACTCCTACACTGGAGGGGTTTCACTGGAGACATGATGCATTGCTTTACCAAGGCAGTGGGATGACAGTGGGCTTGTTTTGTGTGAAATGTCAATCTGTGTCTATACCTCAAAGCAAGGGGTGTAGCATTTATGTGTTCTCTACACATTTTCAATTGGTGTTTACATAACTTATTGACAGCCTTGGTGCTGTTCCACTGACACTTTATGACAAGCCAGAGTTTCTCTTCTGCCTACTCCATGTTTCCTTCGGGACAGTGGATGCTGTATTTCCAGTCACTGAATATGCTGCTGGTGTTAACAGCTGCATTTTTAGATGGATTGTCCCATTTCCGCCTTGGTTGCAGAAAACTTGGTGTTTTTCTCTTGACTAAAACACTTTTTTAACCATATGATCTCATTTAAATTAGAACAATAAGTTATAAATCAATCATCAGGATGCAAACTTTCACGTCATAATTGTTCCTTAACAAAAAAAAGCTTTTTCTGCCGGCGTATGTACAAAGAATACAAAATAGGTTGACTACTACATCAGTGTATTACATCACAAGCGCAGAAGGGTTATGAAAAATGGAAGGAAAGTTGTTTAGCGACCTCCTAAGAGCCCTGTCAAAGTCATGTAATAAGGATGAGCCACTCTGCAGCAAGCGCACTTCACTTGCTGTCTAAAAGATAGCATCGTGGCGTGTACAGTTAACAAAATATGGTATTGCAATCTGTTGAGTGTTAGATTCATCCACCAATATTCTAGGAAAAATCAACATGTTTATACGATCATTTAATATGGCCCCCCTTCTGTGATAGCCTACTTCTTTCTGTCCCTCTCTGCAGGAGGATTGCAGCCGGCCCCACGAGGAGGAGGACATCATGGACATCCCCCTGGATGACCCTGAGGCCAACAGGGCTGCTGCCAAGATCCAGGCTGGCTTCCGTGGGCACATGACCCGTAAGAAGATGAAGCCGGAGGACAAAGCGGAAGGGGAGGAGGTGAGCAGCACTGGGGATGTGCTGAACTGCAGCCAGGGGGACACAGGTCAGTGGTGTAGAACCAAGGGGTAAGAGTAGGACACATAATGCCATTAAAGAGGGCATTATGGCTAGTGACTGTAAGGATGGTAACAGAGGCTCCCATCAGGAGCTGTAACTAAAGTAAGTGAAGAAAGGTAAGCGAAAGCATAAGTTGCTTGTTTGATAGTATATAATATAGACTTAGAGTTCAAATATTATACATAAGATGGATAAGTTCACACGATTTGTTGTTGTGCATGTTATAGTTGAGCATTTTACCTGAGATGCATTTTAAGAATTTTCAGGAATCTAGCTTTTTCTCACAGCCGAACACATAATGCAGGAGCACGAACTGATTAACTATTATTCACTCTTGGAGAAGAAACCATTTAAAAGCTATAAATGATTAAGCCCCTTAAGGGTTACCCCAAGTGTGATTAATGAAATATATAACAGAGTGACTCATTTAATTACCCATATAGTCTCCAGCAATAGATGATTGAATCTCTCAATTAAAGATTCTGTTAAAGAGGGTTATAAATGAACCGGCTTGAAGGCGAGCTGTTAGATCACTACAGAGAAAAGATGTTTGTCAGAGTTCGGTTCACGTGAAATATAACAAGTTACATCCTCACAATGGTAAACAGGTTTTCCTAGTTATACATGGACATGAAAATGCTTTCAGAATTCAGTTGATGATGTGTTGCTGTCCTCGTCTGAGTGTGTTAACTGTTTCAACACCAGCAGAGATTGCACTAAGATAAGATTTTAGGCTTTCTTTTTATCTCTAAAAAAATCATCATCATAGTATAATTTCAATCAGAGCACACTTTCTTCAGATATCCACTAAAGTAACATGTTTACCAGATCTTTTGAGAAGTAAGACGACGTTTTTAGCCCTAAAAATGTCCTCTTTGCCTATAAGACAAAGCACCATTTTCTTTGAGGACGTGGCTGACACAAGAGATTCTCGTCAATGATTCTCCCTAACCCAGTTAGAGATGTATTTATAGCGCCAGGTGCTCTAGGTACAGTATATGAATCATAGCGCCAGGCAGAATTAATGGACCTGTCGGACCGAAACCATGCATTGCCTCCCATTGGGGAAGACCCCCTTCACAACAGAACTGAGCCTTGAGCTTTTCAAATATGTCGGCCAAGTTATCAGCATTGCAAAATACTCAAAACTTAGAAATGAATTCTACAAATAGATTTCTCGTTTTGAAAAACCTCCAAGCAACTTGAAGTTTTCTTCAAGTGTGCTTTTAAAATATATCCACCCACAAGTAACCTTACAGTCTGTGGTTATGCATTAGAGCAGTGCTTCTCAAAGTGTGGTCCGCGGACCACTGGTGGTCCGTGAGCGCCGCCTAGTGGTCCGTGAGTATAATGGTACAATTTCACATTTGAAATAAATTAATTAATTTGAGTTTTCCGCACTCTCGCGGGAATATCTCCGCAATGGAGTGAGCTTAAGTTTAACTTTTGATTGCATGATATAGCCCAGATAAACACCTTCATCACACATGTTGCCACTTGTTTGTACAAATTCCAGGCGATTTGTAAAAAACGATGTGTTTTTGAATATTTGTGGAGTTAGGTGGTCCGCGAGTGTTTTTTTATTGGTTAAGTGGTCCTTGGTATGAAAAAGTTTGAGAAACACTGCATTAGAGCCTTTAAATAACAGAGCGTATATAAAAGCATTTTTTCCCCCGGCTCTGCAGTGTTTTAACTAGGCCTTGCCTGTTTCTGTTTTTAGAGACAGGAGGATCGGGGGCAGTAGAAAGAGACGACACATCTGTGCCAGAGCAGTGACGCCCCTGTCCTGACCTGGATGACGAGGAAGAGAGGAAGAGAGATGGCTGGCGTACGCTGGCTGGCACGTCTTTTTACCCCAGGAGTAATTTTATTTTTCAACACAAATTAGCAGTAGAAAATGAACCCGCCGTTTGTAGGGTGTGATATGTGAATTTCGTGAACTTTAACACTCCTTCTCTGCTTCTTCAGCAGTATCATCAGTACGGATGTCTTTGACCCAGAATTTGCAACTCACTGCATGTACTTGTGAAACTTCTGGTAGTGTGCTAGTTTTTAGATTGACGATCTGTGAATGTGAAAATGAATGTCCTCTAAATGCTAAACACGGCTTATATCGGATGGATCAGTTCATCTGTGTGAAGACTTTGTGTGCATCAGCTTTAGACATTGTAGTGGCTTAAATTATTTGCTCTTTTGCTTTGCTTATGTTGTGCTTGTATCTTGACTATTATTCACCTATTTCACTTGCGTACAAAAATGATTAAAACATCTAAAGAGAAGTAGCTATGTATGATCTATTTATTTAATGTCACTTTATTCACATTGCATCTCAATTTGTTTCTTTTTATGTCACATTAAAATTGATTTTCTTTTCATTTTTTAAAGCATATTCTAAAAATCAGATCTTCCGGAACATTAAGCATGCATTAAAACAAAACAAAATATTCCCAGGTGTATTTGGTACAGCTTTAAGTTATCAGAAATTGCTTCAATATGCTCCATTGTTGTGTGAGTAGATTAGCTGTTTGACGTATCAGGTGTGTGACATTCACTATCAAAGTTTTCCGCCATGCTTTTAAACTAGTTAAATAGTACCTTGATGAAATTGCTGTAGAGTCATGTCATTACACTAATAAATCGACCATAAATATACAATGAAATGTCTGTTTTGAACTTCATAAGCAGAGGTTAACTATTTCTTCCTTTCAAACACAATTGTTATGTCGTCTGTCACCTCAATCTCAATTTTTACACGGTCAAATTGAATTTCTTTGTACATTACACCAGACAATGCCGCTACATTTTCATTTGTCACAGGAGCATATGGTAAGCAAGGCTAATTGGATAGAGCAGTTTCCATCCAGCTAAAACAATGTCTGTTATCCCGTGTGGCTCTGAAATCTCATGAATAATTAATATCATACATTTGTTCATGTCTCATTTCACAACTGTCAATTCCGCTAAACATTAATTGGGATTTTACTCATAATAATAGCAATGTAAGGAGCCATTCAAATAATTAGATAGTACACAGTTGCAGAGCCTTGAAAGCATTAATTAAAATGTGTCTTATCAACAAGTGCATTGTTATAGACAGTAACCACACTGGGTGATGTTTGCACCTAATATTGTTGCAATACTTCTGTGGTTTAACTTTATTGCAATAAGGCTGAAACAAGAAAAATGTTGCTTCATATGCCCAGGCAATCTTGCCCACTTTATGAGAAACAGACTTGAGCATCTTCAGTCTTCCAGTGCTCCCACACAGCCCACCTACACACATCTGAGCCGCACAGCGCTCTGCACGAACTCAAACTGTAAATGTATCCTCACAACCCGCACTTTAGTATGCAGATCCCACTCAAGTCACTCATTCTCTCTCTTTTGCACACACAGACACGCACATACACCGACATACACAGGCCTTGTGTCACCAGCTGTAGAGATAGGACAACCAACATGACACTTGCTCTCAGTGGTTTTGCAAAGCATTTCCATCTCACGCTGACATTCCTCCTCCGCCGCGCTCTCATGAACATCCTCTATGGGTTTTATATGGACTGCTTCTCTCTTTTATCCTACTCAGTCTCAGAGGTGCCATGGCCAAGTTCTGCTGTCTCTTTAATGACTGTGGGTGAACAATCAATATTCTGCCCACCTCCAAACATAGCACAGCGCCCACTTGATTGATTTCTGCAAGTCAGAAGAACGACCATATACAAAAAAAGCCTGAAATCGTGTTGGTTAGTGACTTAATTCATCATCATGTGGGTCATCTGACCAAGTCTGAGTTTGAAAAGTGCAGCATTAGACAGAAAAGAAAGACAAATTGTCAAGCTGATTGTGAACTATTTTAGGACTAGATAATGTGAAGGATCAGCTTGGATATGTTGGGTTCCTTCTCAGACATCTTGTCAGAGGAAAGATCTTTCTCGTCTCCCGGGTGATCATTAGAGATGAATAAGCTAGGACAAACAGCAGGAGGCACAATTATATCTGCTTTCCAGTGGTTATGCCATCAGCCTCACCGTCTTAGAAGAAACAGTATCTTTAATGCCAAGTAGGTTACACAACTTAGCGGTAATGAGGCGACTTTAATGCCACAGCTGCATGAACAACACCTACACATTCGTCACCATCTGTTGCTCACAAAAAAGGAATCACAAGGCATGTGGTATCAGCAACACGGTGTATCACATTGTTAAGATGTATTTTGTCAAACCTTTGTGTCTGAGTCACACAGGATGACATCATTTTTGTTGTGGCCTGAATGGTTTCAGGCCAAACTGACTGAGACACACAGGCCCTGTGTATGCGCCAGCTATTTTTCTGTATTGAGTGGAAAGAGACCCCTTGATTTAGAGTGTGTTAGAAGATGAGAGGAAGAGGGCGGTGCTGCTTTTATGAAGGGCAGAGGTGGAGGGGAGAGGTTCAGCTTTGATGGCCTACTACACAGCAGTCTGAGCCCTGGGAGAGGGGTAGTGAACAGCAGCTGTTCCCACATTCCTGCAGCTTTCTGTCAAACATGTTTCCTCCTCTGCATAAAACCTCCCTTTGTGGGCAAACAAAATGCTCTAAATAAAAAACTAAACAAAAGACTGCTTTCCTAAAGTGGGAAAGATGTATTGTAATGCAATTGACTCATCAGTGCACACTTTTTCATACATTAAATCCTAAAAAGCCAACACAAAGTGACATATTGGGATTTTATACACAGCATCATGTTTGATATAGTTATTTACACAAAATGAAATGGTATGTTGTCTTTCAGGGGATCAAGGCAATGAATGAATGTATAATTGAAATTGTTGCATTTTTATCTTTTCGTAGGCATTTTTTTAAATTGAGTCTTCTCTTGAGGATATTCTGATCTGCTTAACCTTATTTTCAGTTTTCCACATGCATGTTGGATGTTAATGTCAGGGGGAAAAGCGAAAAAGCTCCAAACTTGATGTCAAAACATGTGATGGCTGTTTTCTTTAAGTATTGCCTTCTTCAGTTCACAACCTTCTACACCACCTAGAGGACAAATAAGGTATTACAATTGTTTAGAATTTGTATTGGTTGCTCTTCTTATTATGTAGCTTTCAGCTTCAGGTATAGTACCATACATTGATCATGAACCTGACAGGTACTCTGCATCTAGCAGCAAAACGCTTCAAGGTTGCATGTGCTTGGGTGGTTCGACAGAAGGGTTGGTTGCCAAGGGACAAATTGTGCGTTTATTGTGAGGCTCCGGTCCACAGAGGAGTTTGCACAATGTGACACAAGTGGGTCAAAGAGGGGGGAAGTGAGTTGTTATTCAGACTCAGACATTGCAGAGCTTTAAGTGGGCTCCAGAGCTGAAGTGTAGTAGTTTTTTCCAGCAGAAATTCTTGCTAAGTTACTCAATAGTATTAGTATTGAAAAACTATTTATTTATTAAAAAAGACAGTTCCTAGCCTTAAGCTACTGTGAGAAACTTTAAAAAACAATCACTTTAATATGTACATAATTGCCCCCAAAAAAGCAAACAGTATATTCTTTGAGCTCCTTTCTGAAAGGGCAACATGGAGTGGAAGAGAGGAGCTCATCTACACTATGTCTCTGTCTCACTCACACACACACACACACACACACACACACACACACACACACACACACACACACACACACACACACACCACACACACACACACACACACACACACACACACACACACACACACACACACAGTTGGCTGTTGTTGGCTGTGACTGGGGTGCTGTGAGGAGAGTGGGGCTCAGTGCGACCAGGCAGAGGCCAGAGCGGCAGGCAGGCAGTGGAGAGAATTGAGCCGCAAAGACGTGCCCAGAGTGGATAAACCATGCACACTGAGTGGGAGAAAGACTCTGCCCAGGACACAAGATGAAGGTAGAGAGGAAGACCTCCTCTAAAGGCGACAGTTTAACTGACATTCCTCCGCTACTGACCCTCTTTGGCCTCCTCCTCCTCCTATTCACAGGTAAGCTCAAACATTTGTTTGCTATCCAGAGTTAAGAGGATAAGAAATCTTTACTGAGACTGTGCTATCTTTCTGACAGCAACAAAACAAGTGAAATTTGATTTAAAATGTTCTCGCTGTGTATTTACAAGCAAACAAAACCCTAACTGGGTCCTTTCAATTCATCTTTTTCGTGTGTCTCTTCAAAAACTAATCAAAACTCAAAGCAAAGTTAATCCAGGTTAAATTAGTCGCTGAAGTTTTTTCTTGTCCTTGTGTTCCAAGGGCAGGTGGCACAATTGATTCGTTAATGGGTTGTGCTCTCTATTGGGCCCCCATCACCAGCTCAAAGGAGCCTGGAGGGTCCATTGTAGGTGTGTAAGAAGTGGGCATGTAGTGTGATGATATCAAGTTTTGTTCAGGACTGGTGAATAGGGCAGGGCTTGCTTTTGTCTTCAGTGTGGAAGCTTTGGATGAGTTCATTTCAGGGATAAAGGGATGTCAAAATGTATTTGGTGATTTTGGTTTTTATTGAGTGTGATTTTAATAAAATCATTTTATGATCGTACCATGGAGCCAGTTTACCCGACAAGGCCAGCTTTTTGGTAATAACTGGATCCTGTGTCTATCTCCAACTTCACCAGTGACAAAGACTTACTCACTCTTTCTCTCTCTCTCTCTCTCTCTCTCTCTCTCTCTCTCTCTCTCTCTCTCTCTCTCTCTCTCTCTCTCTCTCTCTCTCCCTCTCACCTCCCTCTTTAGCACTCTCTCGCTCTTTTCAAGGGAGGAAACTAGTTCCAACAATCATGCCCTTTGTCTTATTGCCTTGGCAACCCCTGTCAGGCGGACCAAATGGTTACTACGGCAATGAGGCGATGCCCCGCTAACTGCCTCGCTGCAAAGAATAGTGAACAGTGCAGACACTCTCTCTCCTCCCTCTCCTCTCGGTTGATCTTTCTATCACTGAGGCCCTAACAGTAGGATGCCCCTCAAAGGCCTGCAGCCAATGATTAGACCTCCATGTGTCCGGCCACAGCTGAGTTATAGGAACCTCCGCTGTGAACATAATAGCTTTGCTGTGTTTGGTTTCCAAGACAGGTCACTTCTATAAAGGATGAAATGTGACTTACACTATAATACCTTATCCCTGTGTCCCTGTGGGAGGCGGAGCATAATTGGGTAACACAAATCAGAATTAGAGTATTGCTAGCTCACAACGAGGGGCCCTGGGAAATTCCTGGGGGGAGTTTTTCTGGGAAACAAAGCAATTATTAGTGAAAAGCAACATGCGTGCTTATGAGTTTGTTAGCATACGTAGCATACAGCAAGCTGACTAATGGCTGTCATTCTTCAAGCCTGCAACCAAGAAAAAAACGAGGCGTGAAAATGTAAAGCACTCAGTGACAGATTAACTTTAATTGGTCTTCGAACAAATTCATCTGTTTACCCAAATAGTTTGATAAAAATACATTTAATTTGTATCCAAACTATTTAAAGTCAGTAAGATGGAATGTACAATTTGGTAAATAAAAGTGGATTTTGGATAAAAAGGAGATTTAACTATGTTTTATAAAGCTGTGCAAAGTCTCAGCAGTGGTTCAAAAACTACTGGCTAAGCAGTGTTGGCATAATGGAAAAAATTCATTATTTTTCCAATTATAATGACTTATAATGTGAGGACAAAGGCAGCCCCCTTTAATGCGTGTATTAAATCAAAATTAAATGTAAACACTGGATAACTACTTTGGACTTGTGTGCAGTCTTTTTTCCACATTTGATAATTTAGACCATCTTGTGTGTGTGTGTGCGTGTGCGTGTGTGTGTGTGTGTGTGTGTGTGTGTGTGTGTGTGTGTGTGTGTGTGTGTGTGTGTGTGTGTGTGTGTGTGTGTGTGTGTGTGTGTGTGTGTGTGTGTGTGTGTGAGAGTGTGAGTGAGTGATTGTGTGAGAGTGTGAGTGAGTGATTGTGTGAGAGTGTGAGTGAGTGATTGTGTGATTGTGTTCGGCAATCAATCAGCAAACAGCAATTAGCAATAGAACAAGCTTGATTTGATCAATTATGGGTACCTCAACGTGTAAAATGTACTTCAGTGTTTTACGTGGTTTGACTGTTTAAATAGTTAAACCAACTTATTGATGGGAAATGTTTTGTTAGTATACCTAAATATTGTACGAGCAGTGCATTAATGTACTTTGTTATTGTACAATGTCATTGTACCGAAGACCCTCTGCTTTTTGTTCTCGCAGTAATAGTAGTAATTAGTGTAGCTGTCCTCTTTTGTTTCACTATGTGAGAATGTTTGATTTGTTTAATCTCTGCTTGCTGGCAGAGCATATAATGGTGCAAGATTACTCTGTGTCCCCCAACAACCCTTCAGTATATGTGTATTCCCCTCTGCTCCTCAATTATAAACCTCACTGTCGTCTCTTTGCCTTTGTTTCCAGGTGAGGTGTCAGGTGTGAATGTGACCAGCCAAACCCAGGTGGTGAGGGGCACGGTGGGGAAAGTGGCCCTCTTGTCAGTCAGCTACTCCAGCAGCAGTTCTGATAAGCCTGTGATTAAATGGCAGCTTAAGAGGGAGAAAGAGAAACCTATCACTGTTGTGCAGTCCATAGGAACAGACATCATAGGGAACCTGAGGCCGGAGTACCGCAATCGTATCCTGGTGTTTGAAAATGGTTCACTGCTGCTTCACAACCTGCAGCTGTCAGACGAAGGGGCGTACGAAGTTGAGATCTCTATCACAGATGACACCTTCACTGGAGAGCGCTTCGTTGAGCTCACTGTGGATGGTATGAAGTATGACCTTCCTTTTAAAGAGCTGGTTCTTCCATGTTTCAAAAATATATGAGCACGATACTGGTGAGGAGCTAAAATAACATCAATACAAGCTGAAAATACACAATCTTGAGTGTACTGGAGTTAAGTTTTAAGACACTACACTTATTATGTTCTTCTTATATAACCACTGGTCCACCACGCTCTCATATCAGCAAATATTTCCCATCAAGAAACCTTTATCTTTGTCCTGTCCTCCCTCCTCAGTGCCCGTATCCAAACCTTACATCCAGATGATGTCCTTGTCCGTCCTGGAGTACAGCGAGCACTTCAACCTCCACTGTACCCATGATAATGGCACGAAGGCCGTCTACAGTTGGCTGAAGGGAGGCAAGGTGCTGACTAATGACACACGCCTGCTGCTTTCACATGACCAAAAGACGCTGACCATCTCTCGCGTTGGGATGTCAGATGATGACATTTACGCCTGCACAGTGGACAACCCCATCAGCAACATGAAGAGCATGCCTGTCAAGCTCACTGTCTACAGTAGGTGGCATGTAATGACGGTGTCTTGAGTTCTGCAAGTTCACATTAAGGATGAAGAGATCATATATTATATCGTATTTTTCTATATATAATAAATGGGTTACTCAAGGAAAATTACATTGGGAAAAATGGGTCAAATAGCATGAAGAATGTGTCACACTGTCATAAATTGTTATAATGAATTATTTTCACTGAATCAATAATGTGTAAGCAGTATTTTAATGTTACAGCCGCTAAAGGTGGACTAAATGTCCACTATAACATATACTTTAGTGAATTTTTATTTAAAATGTAAATCATATTTTATGAGATGATGATGTGATTTGCACGAAAATATTTATTCTACAAAATATCTAGCAATTTAAGTTGTCAAATGCATGTAGTGGAATAACAAGTACACAACAACCTTGTAGTGCAGTAGTAGAAATGTTCCATAATGTTCCACATAAAAACAGCACAGAGTGAATGTACTTGGTTACATTCCAACATTCCTATACTGGCTCCAATAAATACCAACCCATATGAAAATGATTATGTTTTAGCTCATTGTTAAGCAATTATCCATTTCAGTAGCTCACAAAAGTAATTATCATCTCTTGCTGACTCGTACACATGAATGCCTATCCCTCTAACAATGTTGTTTACAACCAGTGCAGAGTTGGCCCAGAGCGGCTGTTACTGGGCGCCAGCATAGGACCAGTCAGGCAGAGAGGGAGAGGCCGTCTAATCCAATGAATGTGCAGTTATTTATGATGAGCGAGCAGATAAAGAAGGCAGGTGGGGAGGACGCTTTGCCTCAGTGGACCTCGGTAATCCTGACTTCATTATTGCTGTACCATGATGTGTTGCATGAGGAGACAGCTACAGGCCCTCAAACTGCTCTCTATTCCCTCTGCATGCAATACTCAAAGTGACTACCCTAATGTACTACTTCACTGCACATTATTCATGCCAGTACTCTCCAAAGCTCTGGCATGCAATGTAAAAGATTAATACAAAATCAAATGTTCCGCATGTTCCATATCCAGCCTAAGTTTTATTCTAAGACTAAGAAAAAGCATGTTAAAAAAGTCCGAAGATAACTTTACTCTGACGCTGACAAAGACAAAAATAGGAATAGTTTTAAACATGTTTTACGTACAAATAATACTGTATATGTTAAGCAAATCAAGGAGTTATACACGAGTCAAAGATAGTAAGTAAGTAAGCTGTTCATTGAGGGGAAAACTGCACTGCCCTGCTGTTATTTAAACTAACCTTTCCTTTTTTTCTTCTGTCTTTCTTTCATTCTCTCTTTCTTTCTTTCTTCATTGTGTCCTTGTCTACCTCTATGTATCACTCTGGTTTAGGACGGAGCTCGCTATACATCATCCTGTCCACCGGGGGCATATTCCTCCTTATCACCCTGGTGACGGTGTGTGCCTGTTGGAAACCATCCAAGTGAGAGCTACTCTTTCTTCTCCCTGCTCTTTTCCCTCCTCTCGTTCTCCCCCTCTCTTTCTTCCTCTCTCTCTCATTGCCTTTGATATTGCACTTGAGGATGTGACTAGAATCTTAAATCTTAAAGTCCATAACATTCATCTGCTACTTAGTAATTAGTTATCTATTTATCTAATATATCATTCCAATAGCTTGCATATAGACTCTTATTTCACTATTTTTAAAACTATTTTTATTTTACTTTTTACTTTTTAATATTTACTTGCACTATATTTTTCTGTGTATCTGTATTATTGTGTTGCACTGTTGGAGAAGCCTGTGACCTAAGATTTTCATCGACATAACTACTCTGTAGCTATGTTCGTATGACAAATAAAGAAGCTTGAAACTTGAGAACCTTTGGCGAACAACTAATAAACACAGTGACCTGTAGCTCGTACAAACTACCATTTAGTAGCAGGTTTTAAATGATTTTTCTAAATGTGTTTTTTCCTGCTGTAGAAAGAAACATCAACCCATCCCCCAAAGAGCTCCGATCTATTTGGAGCAGAGTGATATTGGCCATGATGGTGAGCACAATTACAGTTAATCATCTTTAAAGTATACACCTTTAAAGAACACATTTGGTTTTTGTATGTTGTAATTAACCGACAAACATGAAAGAATTATTAGATTATATAGTTTATTTTACCTATATTTTCAGTACAGCATAGTTATAAAAAAAATATTGTACATTTTTTTACTGTTAATGTGTAATAAAGAAGAAGGCAGCAGGTTAATCTGCAAAGTACTGCGTTTCTTATGGTTTCTTACTATATTATAGAATGACAGTGTATTTCTAGAAATAGGATTGTGATTCATGAATTTATAATAGTAACTTTTCAACAAAGTAACGTTCCCCAGTGTTAAACAAATAACATAAATGTATTTGTTTTGCAGTTGATGTTGTTCCAAAACCAACTACACTTGGTCGAAGGAGTCCCATGCCTCTTTATGTCCTTGATGAAGATGTAAGTCACTCTTTTATTATCTATATTTCCATTTAGAGTCTATATAATCCATTGACTGCTCTCATTGGTCAATTAATTGTTGAGATATTTGGGTCTGAACCAAAGTGGTTGACTGACTGACTGACAGACCAACATTGCCATCCAATGAGCCTCAGTTCATGTGTTTTTTGTCATTTGATTGTTGTGTTTTAGATAGCATTGCTTCACTCAAATGAGAAGCACATACTACACCACAGCTGAGGATGTTTTTTACATCTGCCTCCTCATTTGTTTCAGGAGACTCTGGAGCGTTTGGAAGAGAGTTCTGGTGATGTCGCCATCCATTCAGAAATGAATATCCCTGCTACCTATGCTCCGGTTCTTCCTCCCTCCTCCAACAGATCTGAGCGGCCTGTATGGTCTGCCCCCCGCAGATATCCCCGAAGCCCCTCTCCCCTGGCACAGCCTCTCCCACAACCCCTCCCCTGTCCTCCCCTACGTCCTGTCCGGTCCCCTGCTCACTCCCCTGGTTCATCTCCACGCAGTTTCAGCCCAATCAGAAAAGTCCGTCCACCAATAGGCATCCCAACCAGCCACCTGCCTGTAGAGTCAGAGAGTGCAGACTCGCTGTCCATCACCACATTGACAAGTGCCTGATGTTCTCATTCTGTGATATGTAAAGTACACTTGTAGTTTGTCGGTCTTCTGTTGCACACACAAGGATAATGGATTTGATGCACTAGGATAAGAGATATGTACACTTTCAGCTAACTCTATGTCTTCATATGCCATTATTTATCATGTATTTCTCTATGGCTATGCACAATATTTCCTTAGTCTTTTGATGATATCCTGTCAAGTGAAATAAATATATTCTGTCCATGTAGTTCATCATGTATTTTATGCTGAACAGTAAAGGTTTCTCAACTCTGGTATATCATTTTCTTCTTGGTTAATTATGTATTTTCCTTTTGATAAGTACCTGTAAGTAAGTTAATGTTTTTGGGTTGGGTTTTTGTTCAAAAATTAAACCACAAGGTGTATTCTTATTCAGCACTAGGTCACTGTATAACCTGAGGTAATAAAAGCAGTTTTAATAGTTTGTAGTTTGTCATCTATTTTGTAAAATTCTGCACCACAACTCTGCTTTTCTTGAGTTGAAGCGTAATTCCTTTTTATTCCATTAGAGGTCGCCCACATATTATACTGGATTTTAGAGCGCAGTTGTCAGTAATATAATTACTTGTATTAATCCACACTTTGTTACGAGTTATTTAGCAAGTTATGTTTTATGTTGTCATTGTCTAACCACCGTTTTACCCTTTTGTGTAACCTAATGAGGTCAGTAATGAGTTATGTGTCTCTTACTCTGACACTTGACATTATTTGACACAAGGTCAATGACGATCAAGCTGTGGTTGAACCTATAATTCTATCAGAATCACAAATGAAAAAATATTTAGAATACGTGAGCCAATTAAATTTAAGAGTCATGAATATAATGTATTTGTGAAGCCTCCATTTCATTTTCTTTTAACAGAGTCATTCTACAGAAAAGGTGGAATCTGGGTGATACAAATCTGCTGAAATATATTCCTTCTAAACACATCTAAAACCTGTTGAATAGCAATAACTAACTCTTAACTTAATGAATCCACAACAAGTAGAGCTTAAAGTATTTTTATTATTTTTATACATTTTACAAAGCTTATTTATATAGGAACGTCATGGTGTTACGTGTTACCAGGAAGAAGAGTGACACCATTGACGGTAACACCAGTGACAATTTGGAGAAAACACTACCATTTTAACAAAATGGCTGCAAGAGGAGAATATGGCTTCAGTCAATATCAAAATCGTTTAACTCTTCAATACAATACATTTTCCCATTCAAATGTTCACCCCTAGGGCTATGCAATGAGTAACACTAATGACAGACTTGAAAGACGCACGTAAAATTTGAAGATAAAATGACACCTTTTAACAAACAAAGTAAGAAGTATCTGACTTTCCTTATGTCTTTGTCCACTGCACTGTCTCATATGATCTCTTGTTACAGGAGGCACTTCAGAGACAGTACATTACTTCAAAAATAAAAGCGTTTTGTGTAGCAGTAACACCAATGACGTAATTTTGGGTGACTAACATTTATTGGATATTATTAATAATATTTTGCATTTTTTTGTTACCATTTCAGTGTTATATTTAATATATTTAATGTTATGTAAATATGAATGAGATTTATTTATTGAAAAAAAAACGTTTTAAATGACTACTATAGGTTACTTACGTAACCCCAGTTCTCAGAGTAACATGTAGTGAGATGTCTCACTATGGGATGCGCCTCATCGCGGAGCAAACAGAAGCATCAATCTCATTACGCCAATCCTGATTGGCTGGTGATTTTGACGTCAGCGTCAGGGAATCCACCCACCCTTTAAGTAGCTTGCGCTACGTCGCATGCATCATTCAAAATAAGCACCTCTTCTCGCTTCACCATAGCAAGGAGGGCCGTCTGGTGAGACATCTCACTACATGTTACTCTGAGAACTGGGGTTACGTAAGTAACCTATAGTTGTCATTCATAACACTCCGTTCGATGTCTCACTATGGGATATTGTAGCTCCCGTATTGCCAGACGAGCTTATCTCGAAATTCACCAAACCAACCGGAACTTATCAGGTAGAGCTCTGACTCAACAAGGTGCCCAGCACTGCTCGGGCCACACTAGGAGCAGAGACGTCTAGCCTGTAAAAGCGGACAAAAGTGAGCGGCGAGGACCAGCTCACTGCTGCACAAATATCTTGGATGGAAACACCCTTGAACAAAGCCCAGGATGTAGCCAGACCACGAGTCGAATGAGCACGCAGACCCGAAGGTGCCTGCAAACCCTGACTCGTATAGGCCAAAGCATTTGCCTCCACAATCCAGTGGGAGAGCCGTTGCTTAGTAACGGGCTTGCCCTTCTGAGGGTTAGCCCAGGACACAAAGAGTTGGTCATTATGACGAAACTCTTTTGATCTGTCCATATAGGTGCGTAAAGCACGGACTGGACACAGCAAATCCGGCTGCTGTTCCCCGGAGGAACACAGCGGCGGAGGAAATGCCTCAATGTCAATTGGGGTACATGAACCAACCACCTTAGGTATAAAGGCAGGGTTGGGCTTCAACAACACTCCCGTTTGCCCTGGGGCGAACTGAGTACATGAAGGATGTACAGATAGCGCATGAATGTCACTGACTCGCTTGGCGGATGCCAGGGCCAGTAACAGCACTGTCTTGAGTGACAAGTGCTTCATGTCAGCTTCTTCAAGGGGTTCAAATGGGATTAGAGTGAGCCCATCTAAAACCACTGCCAAGTCCCATAAGGGCACCAGTGACCTGGAAACAGGGAGGAGCCTGTGAGGCCCTTTCATAAAACGGCAGACCAAAGGATGTTGGCTAGCCGTCTTTCCCTCAAAGCCCACATGGCATGCAGCAATAGCAGCCAGGTACACTTTGATCGTAGAGAAAGCTCTGTGTTTATCAATTAAGTCCTGTAGAAATGATAAAATCACCCCGACAGGACATTGAAAAGAGATGTGTCCTTTTTGAAGGCACCACTCCTCAAACACCCTCCACTTACAGTCATAGAGAGACCTGGTGGAGGAAGCTCTCGCACTCTGAATAGTGTTTATCACCTTCTGAGGGAGTCCCACTGTATTCAGATTGTACCACTCACGGGCCAGGCCCATAGTGCCAAGCGCTCTTTGGTGTGGGTGAAAGATCGCCCCCCCCCCCCCCCCCCCCGCCTGAGACAGTATGTCCCTGCGTAGTGGGAGCTGCCATGGCTGCCCGCACAGCAGCTGATATATTTCCGCCAGCCAGTACATTGCGGGCCAGTGCGGAGCTATCAGGATAAGTGTGTGGCGTTGTTCCCTCACTCTAGCCAGAGTTGGGGGTATCAGAGCCAGGGGTGGGAACGCGTACAGAAGGCCCGGAGGCCAAACGTGCGCGTCCACGCCTAACGGTGCGTTTAAATCGTGCATTGAAAAGAATAGCTGACATTGAGCATTTTCTTTTGATGCGAACAGATCTACCGCGGCTCTGCCGTAACGCACCCACAGCTGACTCACAATCCTTGGATGTAGAGTCCAGTCTGCATATAGTGGTGCACCTCTGGACAGTAGATCCACCCCGAGGTTCATCACTCCTGGTACGTGCGTTGCTCTCAGAGAGAGGAGACGTCTGCCGCTCCATAAGATCAGTTTGCGTGCCTGCATGTGTAACTGGAGAGAACGCAAACCCCCTTGGCGGTTATATACGATATTGTGGTCGTGTTGTCTGTCCTCACGAGGACATGATGTCCTCTGAGAAAAGGCAGAAAGCGTTTTAGGGTGAGGAACACCGCTAAAAGCTCCAGGTAATTTATGTGCGCCCGCTGGAGGTCTCTGCTCCAGAGACACCTGACCGGACGACCTTCGTAAATACCTCCCCACCCTGTCAGACATGCGACAGCACTCATAGGCACGCCCCGTCGCTACTAGAAAAGTCGGGTGCAGCCAGTGGCGCAGTGCCCTTACGCATTTCACAGTAACCATTACTCTCCGCGCGCCATGACGCGCGGGGTTTAGTTTTAGAGCGGCTACCCAGCGCTGAAACTCCCTCATGTGTAAGCCTCCCAGTCGTACGACCAGGATGGCTGACGCCATGAGCCCCAGTAACCGCAGGCATGATCTGAAGAGAACATGTTTGCGCAGCTGGAAATGAGCGAGACAAGCTCTGAAAGGGCACCGAGTTCAGGTGTAAACCCAGGAAGAGTACAGTCTGTGCTGGGCACAACATGCTCTTCTCTGTGTTTATTATGAAACCCAGGTTGAGCAGGTGCTTTACGAGGACATTTGTCTGCGTAATAGCCTCCTGCTCCGACTGTGCGAGAAGCAGCCAGTCGTCTAGGTAGGTCGCCAGGCGAATACCCTGTTGTCTTAGCGGGGCTATCGCGGCTTCCGTACATCGTACAAACACTCTTGGACTGAGAGACAGACCGAAGGGAAGTACTCTGTAATCGTAACAGATCCCCTGAAATGCGAACCTCAGATATTTCCTGTGTGGGTAATATACTGGGATGTGGAAATACGCATCTTTCAGGTCGACTGATGTAAACCAGTCGTTTTGTCGCACGAGACGCAGCAGAGATGTGCGAGTGAGCATTCTGAATTTGTATCTTTTTAGATATTTGTTCAGAACCCTCAAATCTAGTGTTGGCCGAATCCCGTCCCCTCCCCGTTTGGGAACGAGGAAATACTTGGAATAAAAGCCGCTCTGACTCTGCTCGGCGGGTACTATAGATATAGCCCTCTTTTCTAGAAGTGAGAGGATCTCTCTCTCTAGAATATGGGCTGACTCTCCTCGGGTTTGTGAATACAGAATGCCCGAGAAGCGAGGGGGGGTGACAGCGAATTGGAGTCTGTAGCCCCATGTTACTGTCTTGAAAACCCAAGCAGATGTTGTGAGCATCTTCCACTGTATGCTCCTTAGAGCCAGCGGAGATGTCACGTCTCTTACCCTCTGAGTCTCTATTTGTTGTGTTATGGGGCCCTCTAGTGTCTGAACACGGTGGTACCCCATTTCGATAATCCCCACCGACACTGCGCATGCGCGTGACGGTGGTGCCTTCACAACCCCAGCCGGCACTGCGCATGCGCGTGACGGTGGTGCCTTCACCACCGATCTTACTGCTTATCTTTCTTACAGTGCAGACGCTTTTCTGCTTGCTCTTGCCTCTGCTTACTTTTTATGCTGATTTTCCTATTCTTATTCTCTGAAAACTTCGAGCAGCGGCTCCTGGACATTAACTTATCACTGGGACAGTTCATCTTCGTAAATAGACGGAGGGTTTCAGCCATATTTCAACATTTTTACGACGACGTCAGTCTTACAGTAGCGTGGCCTAGCAACAGCTAAAGCCTGGTAGGCTACTGCATGCTATTTAGCTAGTTGGTAGCAAAATGCCTCCGTTCTCTACAGATGACTTCCAGAAACTTATACAGAAGATGGCTGTGTTGGAAATTAAAATGCAACGGTTGGAAGTTAACGTAGAAGTGAATGGACTATGTCGTGGGAATGACACCACTTTACCAGTGTTGCAAAAATAATGGAGAAGGGTATGCTAACTCACAGCTAGTTAGCAGCTACAAGGATTCCAAGGAACAGGAGGGCTGTGTACCGGGTAATAAATCTACAAGTGGTAGTCCTCCCTGAAACTCTCTGGGTGCAAAGCCTAAGAGTAAATCATTTCCATGGGATTTGGGAGGACGGATAACAGGCAGAGCCCAGAGCTCCGAAATCTGTGATGCGACCGGCTGGCTTGCATTGTTATCACCCCAGGAAGAGCGCCTCTTCAACCCCTATTCATACTAGGAAACAGCAGTGGACAGCTGCTAAAGGGAGAATTACAAACAATCCTCCTAAACCACCAAGTGTGCCAATCCAGAACAGATAGGCTCCGCTGACCGAGAACCGG